AAAAAGAATAATAATTTTGAAAGGAAGGGTACTAGCTAGCTAGAGTAGTAATAAGTATATTTATCAACGCAGAGCTGACGCAGAGTCTCAGTGACCATTCCGTTCTGCTTTGCCTTCGTTTGAAGCAATTTGGGATTCCACCAGATCTCAAGAGATCATTTGCCAAAAAGAAGGTTGGGCATCCAAAGAAAGACGACTGCAAGGCTGCAAGGTCACTACTTCTGTCGGGGATAGCTATCGGTACGAGCCTCTAGCTTTTCTTCTCCTCACAAATAATCACAACTCACGCTCTTTTCGAAAATTAATACAAATATCAACATGATGAGCGAAGCTATCAGCGACAGCAACAACAATAACGGAACCGACACAGAGGCTCCCGTCGTCGTGAACATGGCAAGATACAATCGCGACTTTGTGTCCGGGTGCATCGACGAGGCAAGGGGGTTTATCATTTTTCGCAAGGACCGGAAGGAAGGTGCCTTTGAGGAAGGCTGCAAAAAGCTACAGGAAGGATTGGAGAACTTGAAGCTCTACCCGAACCACAACAGCCGCCAGATTAAACAATCCAAGAGCCAAGAAGACAAGGCGGATGACTATTTCAAGGAGGGTAAATTCGAAAAGGCCTACAAGACCTACGAGAAGGCAATTCATTCGCTCAAGACACGCCAGCTCTCGCCTTCGGGATGTGCTTGTTGCATTGTGTCCCTTGTTGTCATTATCCCATTAATGTTTTTTACCGGGGGTGGTAATAGCAAAGGAACGGAGTGTTCCGCTGGATGTGGTTGTAATGACAAAGCCTTGCCCAAGGAACTTGACTAGTTAGCTGGATGGTGTGTGGGTTGTGGGTGAGCTTCCAGCTCCTAACTAGCTATCATAGAAGCAACGCAAGAAGCTAGCGAAGATGGGTTCAAGATATCGGACGAAGAGTACATCAAGGACCTTCTCGAGAAGATGCGAAGAAGGAAGGAGAACTCGGAGTGTATCATAAGTGAAGAAGAATGTTTGAGAAGGATCAAGACAACAGGACATGGAATAACGGTAAAGGGTGTGGTAGATGACTTATGCGAAATCTACGATGAGATTAAAGCACGGAACAAGTCGACAGACCACAATGGCGAAACAGCTTTCATGATTGGAGGAAACAATTCAAGGGCAGATGCAAGAACTGTGGGAACTCCTCAGTCAGGAAACGTAAAAGGTGTGAACTAACGCACAATTCTCTAATTTAATCATATCCTTCCAGCTCTACTTCTATAGACTGGCTATCTTTTCGTTTCTCTTTCTCTCTCGTTCAGATTGTGAGCTCTATAACTGAGCTCCGATATGCATAATATACAGGATCTTTCGATCTCTTTTCTCGCAGTTTCATCTGACAGATAGATCTCGTCGATCTATCTCCATGAAGTGCATGGTTGGCCCTGGAGGGCTTTCCCACTTTACTAAACCTATGGACCTTCAATTCCGTCCATTCATTTGCTCATCCCGTGCTCCTTGCATCATCTCTTCGACCTAACTTCCAACCTTTGTAGTTGCATCATCTAGACGACCATTGTCCTCGTTCCTGTACCCTGGCCATTGATGATGATCGATAACCATCTGATTTGAATCACACATCCCCAATCACGAACCGTGATTGTGGATCCCGAGTCGTCTGTCCTTCATACGAAAATACCTTTCTAACAGGAACCTGCATACATAGACCATCTTAGGGTAAGGGTCCCCCGCACTAAAGTACTATAATGGCAATGACAATGATGATAAGCATCAACAAAATGAGCCCCAGTGCCCAAATCCAAATTTGTTTTCATTTGGCATCATTTCTTGGATGGTTGGTTTCATCCTGGGGTTGCTTCTGTGATGATGCAGTTTGTTTTGGGATTCCCAATCGTCTGCACTGCATGTACCGGTTTGAATAGTTGTTTGCTAACCTGTGCTTGAATGGGTACATGTAGCTTCTGGTAGTGGGTCTTGCCCCCTACCAAGGTTGGGGCTGAGTTGCCGTTGGTTTGGTTTGAATGTACTTCTTGAACTGGTGGTATGATCAGTTCCAGTTCCTGTTTCAGTGTTACTACCACCACTCGCAGCCTGCAACGACATTGTCATTGGTTGCGGGATTAGGTTGGAGGCTCGACCTTGTTCCTCGGCTTCAAGCTGAATCTCTCGAAAGACAGTACTTCCATCGTGGAAACTCTCCAAGGTGTATCCTGGCTTCGAGCTGAATCTCTCGAAAGACGGTACTTCCATCGTGGAAACTCTCCGAGGTGTATCCCGTCTCTGCTTCAGGAGGTTGCTTGGTCATGCTTTTCCCTCTCACTATAGCTAGCAGCGAGCTACGGTATCCAGTCGAAGAACAGGTCTATGATCTATGGCCGAATTGGCAGCAGGCAGCAGCTATCATGGCGGTGGGCCCAGCGGAGGGCGGTGGTTTAACCATCGCTTCGCTCGGTTAAACCTGGGGCCAACGGTCCCATGTCCCATAAGTGAGAGGGTGTGTTTTTAGAAACATGCCAGCTATTACGGGTACTACGGTACGTACCATAGCTGGCCTTGGGAGAAGAAACAAAAGTTTCACACGCATTTACCAATGAATCCTTGGCCTGTCTGCCTGTCTCATGCAAAGTGTTCCGTGGTGTTCTTGGGAATCAAGGCTTCCGTCCCTTGCACTTCACTGGTCTTGTTTCCTTGCTTTTGCCCCCTGAAGCGACCGCACAGAAAGTATCGAATTCGAAGTGGACGCCAAGCTAGCTAGAGCCAGCATTTTGCTTGCTTTAGATTAGAGAGTTAGAGAGAGTTAGAGAGAGAGGACTCCGACGATTCTGATTGAAGGATCGAGCCAGGAGCCAAGATCCCAAGGCGCCTTCACCTGAATTTGTGCCGCTTCCGCCGCCAAACTGCAGTAAAACGCTTCGGCTCGAGCTGGAAGCGAAATGGGATGTTACTGGAAGACAAGCTTCCTTGGAGTCCAAGAGTGAACTCTTTGCAGAAGGGATATACTACTACTACGTACCGGTACCGTGGATAGTACATGTACATGTACCGGTAGATCAAGGTACTATTATGGTAGGTACAGCGTAGCTAGCAGAGAGCAAGGTGCTATGGTAGATTGAATGATCAATCTCAGGAGGAGAAGCTGAAACGGGAAGTCGGGAATTTTGTGGGCACTAATTTATTTAGTAGAATGTCTGATCACTGGAAAAGCGCGCGGAAGCTCGACTCGAAGTCAGTAATTCCGCCCAAGACTCCCGTTTGAAACGCAGTGATTGGTAGGTATAGTCATACTGGTACTAGCTAGTACCGGTATAGCGAGCTGTACAGCGTCAATGGAGCAGCACGAGTAGCTCGTCAGTTTACCGCACCATGTGCGTATGCCAGCTACCGGTATGGCTCCTGATGAGCGACTGAAGAACCCCCTTGATCGAGCGAACGCCTCGGAGCTTCTTTCTAACCTGACTTTCTTTTCTCTGTCGAGCTTTCGCCTTTTTAGAAGCTGGGAAGAATGGAGGACAGGAAATACCGGTACCGTACGACCCCCATTGGAATTTGAAGGACGGTACGAGCGTACGAGCTATCATAGCCACAGTCTAAAAACTAGCTACCGCTAGCGTTTGCTACTGCAGTCTACTCTGGTAGAACGAGCCAATAGTGGTACTAGCTAGTCTGGCTCCATTATTCCCAAAAGAGAGAGCATAAACCAGTGCTATGCGAGAGGGACACCATCAAGATCCATCAAGTTATCAGTGGCAGGCTCGCACACAAAGACCAACAAATGAAAGGAATGTTTTTTAATGAATAAAAAAGCATTGCGACTGCTTCTACAGGGACTATGCCACCGCTGCATGCGCCATCCGAATGTTTCAATCGAATCCAGAGGCTTTCTGGACTCGCCGTAGTTCAATTGACGAGGACATCATGTGTCGCTCAAAACCAAGCTGGGCTAACGTATGAACGTATGGTTATTCTAGCTAATAACCGCCCTACCATTTCGCTAGCCAACGCAGGTCACACGGATCCGGATCACCTCACAAAATCAGTTTTCCACAAGAAGCCCCCACGGCCAACAGCAGAAACATCTTAGCGCCATGACTACACCACTACAACAGTTCTTCCTTTGTTCCCAATGGACACCGGCATCAGTAACCTTGGACCATGCAAGGAGCCACTCCTCTCCACCATCCTCAAGAAGTGCATGTCAGAAGGACTCCCACCAAATCTTCCGAGAACAGCACCTAAGAGTGTGTATGGAACCACCAAGCAAATCAGCCTCCGCATGCCAACGTTGGCAAAGTCAGCCTATTAAAAGCAGCATGCCTCCCAGAGCACCCCAACGAAGAGGAAGCTTTGCACCCTCACCGGCTGCATAAGCATTTGCTGGACATTCCGCACACGACAAGGCACGACACGACGATGGAGTAAGCTTTCAGATAGAAGTAAGCTGCGGCAGCACAAAATGCAGACTAGCGTCGGAACATGGGCGATTAGGCAAGGCCCAAATGATCATCGCCTCGGCCTGCTATTGTAATAATAGGCCTACCGTATGCGTCTACAAACCCATTACAGCTTCTCCTTGTTGTAGGCTGATGAAAACTTTGAAACAATACAAAAATATAATGCACACTATGTAACACCAGCCATTGTGCTTTATGCAAAGGGCCCATGTGGCATTGTTTTGATCTGATCTATTGAAAAACTCCGCTTCTCGGACTAGGAGACCCTGTGCTTCGTGATCTGCTAATGCCCAAATCCAACCAGTAGTTCTTTGCAGAGCCTGCATGCAGATTGGTCACAGCAATGTGAGGGGGTGTCGGTGGATCAGAACCAGTGTCTTCCATCTCCTCGTCCCCATCAATATGCACGGTTTCCAATTTGTCCAACGATCGAGACAGCCGTTCAGTTTCATTCTGCATTCGGCGGAAATGTGTGCCCGCACTGATTGGAACTCGAAGGAGCAGAAGCATGTATGCTACAATGCTGAAGCCAAATGCAAGAGAGCACATATATATCAAATCCCTTGTTTGATTTTCCACCTTCATCCCGATTGTTGCAAGGAACACTTCCCCTTGCACGGGAATAGAAGGATATCCCGGTGCATCAAAGCTCAGAAGGAGCCCATCCAGCTCATTGGTCATCAGGATCTCAAAAGCATAGTAGAAGATGGACAGGTATCTGAGCCAAGCAAACCAAGCATCCATGGTCTGCACATTCACCAGAAATCCACCAAAGAGAAGCATGATCAAAAACCAAACAGATGCAATCAAGTTTGCTTGGCCCACTGTTGGAGTAGCAATCGATATACAGATGCTCATGATGCCGGCGCAAACGTTGAAGAGGACCACCGTAGCCCAGAACACCACGAAAGCTTCTGGTTCACTCTTTAGACCCATCAACCAGTAGAATATGACAACAAAGACGGTTGCGGGAATGATTCTCAGCACGAACGTGTCCAGTACAGTCTTGGTCAAAAAGTACGAGAACACCCTAAAGTACTTCGAACCAGTTTCTCTCATGAATATATGTCTTTCCTTCACAAAAACATCCATTGAACTGAATGATGCAAAGCCAAAAAATGACAACGAAAAGTAAAACGCCTGCTCTCAAGCGTAACAAAGACGACGTGTGAGTACCTGCACGTTGTCCTGAAAGCCAACAGAGTTTCCCGTTGCGATGCAAGGGCCAACAAGTCTTACTTACCCCCATACGATTTTGGAATCCCGCCAGGTCGTTGGATACACCATTGAAAATAGCACCGACAAAGCATGCGAGTATCGTACAAAGGCAAAGTTGCATCAAGAACAGTTCTCTGTTTCGGATGATGTCCTTGCTGGTGCGACCAAACAAAACCATCATTTCATTGACTATGGAGCTTGGTTCCGCTGGCATTGGTCGCGGAAAGGGGTCCTCCACAACAGGTCGGCCATCGCCCGCCCCCTCGTCGTGAAACCGCGGCGAAGCAGGTAGTTTGGAGTGAGGACTATTATTATAAGCCGCGGGACTTCTGAGAATAGAATGATTGGCCTTGTTCGAAACCACATCGAGCATGTGATCGGCCACCGTTTCCAATTCCGGGCAGGGAAAGCCGCGTTCTTCCAAATACCGCCCAACTTGGGAGGGTTTTCCATTGTACATGACTTTGCCCGATCCCAAGAGTAAGATCTGATCCATGGTCAGGAAGGATTTCATGGAGGGTTGGTGTATCGATAGAACGACGATTCGATTTCGAGTGGCCAGCTCGTGCAATACGTTCATGATTTGATTTGCCGCATACGAGTCCAGCCCACTACTCGGCTCGTCCAGGAATAATACGGCAGGATGAGCCACAAGTTCCATCCCAATAGACACCCGTTTGCGTTCTCCACCGGATACACCCGCATTGGCGCCACCCGTCCCGATGCGATTCGTGGCAATGTCGGTCAGACGCAATTCTTGCAGTGTCTTCCATACTTGATTATGCTTTTCCGTAAGGTTCATGGATTTTGGGAGTCTCAGCATGGCCGAGTATTCGATACATTCTTGTACCGTCAGAGTCCCATACAAAGTGTCGTCCTGCTGTACATATGCCACCTTTCGTCGATATCCTTGTGTTTGCATCTTTCCATTGAGAAGTACTTGACCCGAGTTTTTCGCTTGGCCATTGTCCACAGCGGCCAAGATGTTGAGTAGACTGCTCTTCCCTGCCCCACTTGGTCCCCTGATTGATTGATTGATACATATAAAGTTGATTGAAAAACTGGCATGAGACATGACCACGCCAAAGTTCCTTCCTGTCACTGCTGATTGTTGACCGACAGAGCCAGGTGGTGAAGATAGATAGATAGATAGATAGACTTACATGATTCCCATCAACGTCCCAGATTCGACTCTACCCGAAATCTTGTGTAAAATGGTCTTTTCCTTTTGTCCAAAGGCTTTGGCAGCAGCGCCTTTGAGAGGCATGACGCGATGAATGTCTTGGAATTCCAAAATGTGTTTGGGTTGTGATGATGAATGCTGATATTCATCGTACGACAGTTGATTGCTGCTGAACCGACGAAAGTTTTGATGTGAATTGCCGCGTGTTTTCCACCATGTCGCGATAATTGGCAGAAAGATGCAGATGGATAGCAGCAGTGCCATGCCAAAGAGAATGGAAAGGACAATGAGGGAAAAGGTGGCACTGGATTTCCATTCACTTGGCGCGTGTTCCGTCGTATCGACATTAGTATTGCTGATTGGGGTTGCTACGACTGCTGTTTCATCCAGTGGTGCATTATCTGGATCGGGCACACAGGCAGTGGCATTGCAGAGTGCCTCAATATCAAACGGGGCTCCCTCAATCTTGATGCCAATGTGCGAATCGTATCCATTTTCGCTGGCTGTTGTAATCACTTCGGCTGGGTTGCCCGAGATCATTCCTTCCACCACGCTTTTGGTGACAGAGGCACATTCGTCTGTACAGTTGCAGACTATAAGAGAGCGAGAGAGAGTGTGTGAGAGAGAGAGCTCAGGGGTTCTGCCATTGAGTGATCAAACAAAACTTACCAGCCAATTCACATTTAACCTGGTTGCTTCCCGTGACAAAGTTGCATCCGCTGATGTGACAATTGATGGAATGCGCATCATTGATGGTTTCTGTATTGTAGACGCTCATATGTATGGATTTGGTAGGCACATCGGCATAGACGGATATTTTTCCATTGGTAAAGAAACTCTCTAGAGTCCCATAGAGTCGACATTGAAAGGCTTTGTAGACATCCCCAGAGACAAAGTCCAATCCAGAGCGACAGACGCGACTGCTGTCGACTTGCTGACAAGCTTCATCCGACTCGCAGTAGCCACAATTCAAGTCGGACATGCCGTCCACGCAGCGACATCCATCCGGTGCATTGTACTGAGGAGACCTGGGATTCTCCACATCAAACTCGCGGTAGATTGGACATGCCGGGGAAGTATCGTTGTTTTGACCATTGGCGCAGCAGCAGAGAAACACAAAAACCAGTAGACACAGCAGCCAGCGTGGAACTCTTCTCGGTTGTGGTGATGAAAGCATTGTCACTGTATTCAAAAAATTGGAGTGGTGGCTCTTGTTCTGTTTTATGAAGGTGCGGCTTCCTTCTTTCAATGCAGTCTTCACCAAGCAGACGGGATCACGACTAGCTAGCTAGCAAGTATCGTACAAGAAGAGAGGCTTGGACTCTTCCACAACGCACCCTTGACTCTCCAAAACGGATAGGTTCAGCGACAAACCCAACGTGTCGATGCTTCGGTACAGGCACCAGTTCGCTCTCTTGGTCCGATCTGCACCTTGGCGGTGGATAAGCAAACGCGACCAACATAATTTCAAAGCAAGAAGTCTGTCATGGTTAAATATATATTATATCTTTGAGTCTTCTATACTAAATCTTCACACCCCGGTTTGCTCCCAACGACATTTTCTGCGAATAAGAGCGATGTCCAAACGTCTGTTCCAGGAACGATGAAGTTCAACGCCCACCAACCGTGTCCGTGGTCTACGAGTTTAATAAAGGAAGTGGGTGAGACACGTAGAAAGTGTACCAGCGCTACAGCCCAAAAATGGACCAAAACCGTCTATAAGCAAATGACTGTCTCAATGTCCAATTGACCCATAAGTAGATCAATACGAAATCGACCTCAAGTACCATTGACTGATAGCATGTTACCCATACTGACAACATGATTTAAAATCATATACCCCATGTTAAACCTGTATTTCATTTTCGTTATACTTTTTACGAGATGCATAAATATTTTGGTCCACCATTGAGTCCCGTTAACTCAGCAAGTGGACAGTGAGACAGAAGGTTTCCGATATTGTACTGTTTTTGCTATAGTATCTCTGATGTCTCAAAGCGATGGACCAAAACCGACTTTAAACCTGTACGAACCGTATGATGTTATCGCATGATGAGCACAGATTTGTAGGATATGCTGTGGCGGTTGGGATGTTGATTTGCAGGCTAGGGCACCTTGCATGGTTGATGCACTAGCTAGTAACTGCTGCCCGGAGCCACCATTTGTGCAGCAGAACCTGGCCACGTTGTGGAGTCGAGTGACTCGACTCGGACTCAGTCAGTGGGAAACAAACTTACTTGCAGCCATCGGCGTCAACTAACTGTCCCGATTTAGAATCAATCCCAATTTAGACACCGCGGACAGGCAACAGTCTTGGCTGGACGTGGTGCGCAAAGAGAGAGTGAGGCAGGACTTGAAGACGAACCTAGCTAGCTAGCCGAACCTATTGTAGCTAGCTACTGGTTGGACGAGGATATATCGGGTTCGTCAAGTTGAAGAACGTAGGCCTGCACATGCTATGGGACTGGGCCGGAATAAGATCAGAGGAGGGGAAGGTTCAACGTCAAGAAGGCCCGGGCCTGGACTTGCTTCTATTGCCACCATGAGCCTGCGCCATCGGGCGCGGGCCTGAACTGGCTTCATACATGAACCTACCGGTACGCCATGGGGTTCCAATCCAACGGATAAACGGCATCCCGCCCCACCCCTACTACCGGTAGCTAGAAAGAGGAGCCACACACCGTTGTCAAACTAATCGTAGAACTTAACCCCTTCGGGGGATGTAATTTTAAAATCAGTTACACATGGGGTTCCAATTCCGCTAATGAAGGCCCTCTATCATGATGAAAAGCTTACCCGTGCATACATCCTTCGAACACGGCCTCTTGCAATTCAAGACTGGAGAAGCTTGGGTTGCCCGCTAACATGTGTGTGTGTGTGTGCACTTCAAGCAATTCCTGGCTGGCAATGGGTTTTCTACAGCTGCTGATGGAGGCCGCAATAGCAGCAACAGCGAGGCATACAAAAGAGCTATTCGGGATTGAGTCCATTCGAAATCCTCTGGCTCTTGTACCTCTTCTAGCTAGGCTAGCTGACTTCTATAACAATCAATCTTCTTCTTTTGCTTGGAGCCGACGGCTGTGTTTTCGGTTTTCGGGCTTCTGCAATTTCTTTGTTTCTTTCCGAGTGTTTCCATCGAAAAGTCGCTCAAAATCTTACTGTACCACCAGTACCAGTACCGGTACTGAGTGCGCGTTAGTCTAAAGCATTCTCTTGGATGTTCTACCAACTTCCGAGTGACCCTATCGATAGACTGTAGATACTACTGGTTCGATTCTTATTGATAAATCCTACATACATGTATGCATATGCCAGTATTAATACTGTAGCCTCTTTCACGGAGCGAGCGACCATGGCACACGATCACTGCTTCACGGAGCGACCATGACGCCTCTACGGTTCGAGGGAGCGACATGACGGCGCTACCGCTATTGCAACAACAAGCGGCGCCATCGACGCCTTGGTGGTTGATCCAATTTCGAAACGACGACAGAAGACATGCCAATCAACATGATCGTTAACCTGCATGAAACCGACTATTAGACCGCCCAATATGGCCACCGTAGGTTCCAATAAGATGTCAGTAGTCCTGGTGCGTGTTGTTGCCGCTCTTGTTGCCGCTGGTTGGCCATTGTCATGGTTTAGCGTGCCCTACAAAATAATTGCGTGAAATTTCCTTATTTAACGGGCCCCTTAATAGCTAGCTCCCAACATCACGCTGAGTCAGTTCAAACAACCTACAGTACGAGTACTGTATAGTATCTGGTACTTGTAACTTGCAGGAGAACCCTGGAGAACCCTTGACTTTTTTACGTATTCCAGTGGTCGCACCCCCAACACTCTCCGCAAACCCGCGGAAGTACGTCCTGTAAAGTGGTAAAACGGCTGATTTTGAAATTTCGAATTTTGACTTAGGCACTTTACGCACTTCACGTAATACTTACACATTTCTACGCACGTTTACGCACTTTGAGCACCTACGTGTTTTTTAGTATCTCTTTTGACACGCTTTACGCACTATTAAACGCTCTTTTACTCACTATTACGCACTTAATTTGATTTTTCCGCACTTTCCGCACTTTCTCTAACAAATGTGTCAAAAAATAGGCAAAAACCGAATTCGGGACGTTGCAGCACTCCGTTCTCTGAATTCAAGGCTTGCATTTGTGTCTGGTTTTGTTCTATTACAGTGACCGCCATACCGCCAGCACTCTCATCAGCACTCACTTTTAACCTCGCTGCAGCACTAGCTAGTACCAACTTGATTCTCTGGCCAGAATTCGAGGCTCGCATTTGTGTCTGGTTCAGTACAGTGACCGCCATATCGCCAGCAGAACAGGCGCCCCATCGGACCTCCGACCTCCATCCTCCAAACGGCGGAGACACACAAGCTGTCTACACCAAGAACTTGACACAACGAAATGATGGAAGAAAACAATCGAACAGACTCGCCCAACAAGGCTACATTCAGTGCCAGCTATAATGGTGGTGAAGATGGGGAGGTGAAGCAAATGAAGGACATCAGGATCTCTGTCATCAACTCTTGCGGAGTGCTCGATGATTCCATGCGTATGGAAGCCAGGGGGGACTCGGGATTTTCCAAGGAAGATGAAGACTCTGCTCCTATGCATGACCAGACATCCCTTAAGCTGGGCACAATAGCGGCTGTTAGGATGGCTGTCATCAACTCTTGCGGAGTGCTCGATGACAGTTCCAACGTGAATTCTATGCGTATGGAAGGAGGGGGAAACTCGGGATTCTCCAACGAACTTGGCAATAACGAACAAATGAGCCCAGCAGGAAAAGGTGAAGCTGAGTGCGGGGCTGATACTCGGATGAAAACGTCTCGTTTTAGGGATGCTCACGGCCAGATGGTTGGAATCGGGGTCCAGAATACCCCTAGTAGAAACCCACGCATGTTGGTCCAATCCCGGCCTGGTGCCTTTCCTTGCACCGGCATCCTTTCCCCGCAGAACGAGAGTAGTAGTGGGACAACTGAAACAGAAGCAAACACAGATGTGGAAGCACCGACCGGAGACGTGACGGAGATGCAAAGGCTGTCCATTGCAAACCTTGTGCCTGAAGATGACGATAGATCTGATCTGCAGCAAGCACAAGCAGTGGACGTGAATGCACTGCAGGAGAGCAATCATGAGCGACACGAGCAACGAAAGATACTGGGACTGGCATTCCGGGTGGCTGGCATTGGTGGAATCCTTTTCTTTGTGATTGTCTTGATCCTGTCATTGTGGTTGAGGCACGAACAGCAGGAAACTGCAAAACCCATGTCTCCGGAAGCCACAGGAACGCAACCTCCTGTTGTTCAGACTTTCAGAGAGCACATCATGTCCCTCCTCCCAAGCGACACTATAGCGTATGTCCTTCAAGACCACACCATCCAGCATAGTGCCTTCCAGTGGCTTATCCAAGATCCCAACATTAATAGCGCCTATTCTGATGCCCGTATCCTACAACGCTTTGTCCTGGCCACATTCTACCTCTCCACTGGTGGTGCCTATTCCAACGAAACTATGAGCTCTTCATCTTCTGCATCTTCTAAATCATCCCTTTCTTCCTGGTCTAATGAGGACAAGTGGCTCTCCTATCACCACCATGAATGTGATTGGTGGGCACACAATACATCATCACTGTATGGCGTACCAGAAGAACAGTATAATCTTCTCTACAATTTCAGTGGAAATCCTTGTGATTCAGATGGGAACTACCAGCACCTTTGGTTGTGGCAAAATGGGCTGAGGGGGAACCTCCCACCAGAGCTATATCTGCTGACCAATCTCTGCAGCATCACGATTGACAGGAACGAACTTGCAGGAACCATTTCATCTCAGATTGGTCATCTGCGGGAGTTGGAGGCACTGGCACTTTTCCGTGCAGACTTGACAGGAACTCTGCCCTCTGAGGTAGGCCTTTTGACACAGCTGTCCTTTCTTTGGCTCATGAGCAATGAGAACCTGGGAGGGACTATCCCATCAGAATATGGTCAGCTGTCCAAGTTGCAGTACTTTCTTGTGGACAGCGCAAGTCTTACAGGAAGCATCCCAACTGAAGTTGGCAATCTATCTGATTTGATTTGGCTATTCTTGTACGATAACGAACTGACTGGCTCGTTCCCAACAGAAATGGGCAGGATGCAGGCACTAGATACCTTGTGGATTTGGATGAATGAGATTTCTGGGCCTATACCATCCGAGTTTGGTCTCCTGGGAAAGACGCTGGGACACATGGCCATTGATGTGAATCCATTGGAAGGTTCACTCCCCACAGAGCTCGGGCGTCTATCCACACTGACACTGCTCCATGTGTCTGACTCAAAACTGACAGGCACGCTCCCGACGGAGCTAGGCCTTCTTGGCAATCTAACTTCAGTCACAATCAACACTTGTGATCTGTCTGGGACGTTGCCTAGCGAAGTGGGACTCCTGACCAATGCATTCCGCTTCTGGAGCTGGAACACTCACTTCACCGGAACCATTCCAACAGAGTTTGGTCATTTGGCAGCCATGGAAACGATGGCATTCGATGACAACGGTCTGGTGGGGTCGCTGCCATCTGAACTTGGATTGCTGTCCAACCTCTCCCACCTGTATTTCACTGCCAACATGCTCACTAGCTCAGTTCCAACAGAGATGGGCCAGTTGTCAAAGCTTGATGGAAAGCTCTGGTTGCAGTCGAACCAGTTAACAGGTACGAAGATGTCGTTGGGCACACTGGTACCATACTGTTGCTCGAATAAGGTTGTAAGCAGCATAGATTACTCACACTACCTTTCTTCTTGTTCTTCCCACCGATCTCTATGTATACTCAGGGCCAATCCCCAGTGAACTAGGTCTGCTTCAGAATGTTTCAGAACTATTGCTGCATGACAACAGGTTCACAGGATCAGTGCCATTTGAACTTGGAAGCTTGGAGCAGCTGAAAGTTTTGGCAATCTTCAATAACAGTGAGCTCAAGGGGACTATTCCTCCAAGCCTCTGCATTCTCACTTCTTGGGATACACCAGCAATTGTGGAGTCGAATCAAGGGGGTATCCAAGTGGACTGTGAAAAGGTGGAATGTCCATGCGTAGATATTTGTGTTTGCTCCTAACGGTGCATTGGAATAGTTGCTTCTGGGCGCTTCAACTGTTTTAAAAGGAGGGTCATCAAATGGAAGTGTTCACTGCGTTAGCACTATACATTTTATACTTAATTCATTTTAGCAAGGATTTCACGGAAACAACTATAGTTCTGATTTGGCACGCCAGCCGCTCAAGAGGTAAAGCAAACAGAGTACAGAGGGTAAAGCTTGGAGTAAAACCCAACTAAGGTAGGTAGATCTCCATGGTCTGGAATCTCTTCACAGCTGGCATAGACTAGGCAGGTAACACAATAAATGTGGTTGGTCTTGCGCTGCTCCCTGTACTCTGGGATTTCTTCCATCGACCTCCGAACCCTGGCCCTGGCCCTTGCCAGGCAGAGCAATGCGTGAGTTTTCTGCCAAGCTGCAAAAAGATCCATTCCGTTTCTTTCCTGCATATTTATTTATCCTTACCACCTACCCCCACCTGCTTGTTCAATGCCATCCACAAAAACAGCCGGCTCGTTCTAAAGATTATTGGCTTGCAGATAACAGTGATTTGCTATTCCCATTGATCCTTTGCACTCGATCTCTTGCTTGGTCCCCTGCCTCGAGACTGTCCATGATTGCGCTAATTTCCCCAGATGGGTTGAGCAAGTACTTTTGATAAATTTCTTCATAGATAGCCATACCGTCTCATTTGGCAGCGCTCTTTTGGACTAAACTTGCGCAGTATCTGAATGGTTTGGTTCATGGATTCTTCGGGTATCACCACGGCACACCGACTCCAATCAATCAGCTCTTTCCGAAAGGGCATCACCCAGCCGTCGGCGTGGACCACAGGAACTGCGCCAGCGCTCAGGACCTCTGTAAAGCGATACGAGACCCGATGCATTCCTCGTGGAGTGGCGGCAAACTGAGAACCCTGCATCAAGGATGTGTAAGTAATATCCGTCTAGTTGTTGCGTTCCGAGGGTTTTGAACGCCGAAGTTGAAGGCAGAACCACGTCCTCGGATTTGTCTTGCTTTCCAAGGTTCAACAAAACCCTTCGAGGACTTCCTGGGCGATTCGTCCCAATAAAGGAGAAGAGATACGGGCGGTAGTTTGAAACTGCAGATTGTGGTGACTGGCCACTTTCACAGGTGCGAATGGCTTGTTCCTGTTCGTCGGACAGTTGGGTCCGTTTCAACGCGGGCGGAGGAAAGCCCATATCACGTCTTCTAGCTAGCTGACGAGGACCCACGGATCTCGCGAGCACGGAGAGTTGTTGGGAAGTAATTCGCTTGGTTCGTAAACCCTGCGGCAATCGAAAAACAAAAGAGTGGAAAAGTGCTTGCCTTGCGTCAAGACTGGAGATTCCAACATGGATTGGAGCACTTGGTTGGGTTGATGGTGGATTTGCAAGGGTTGTCCTCTTAGCTGTCGTTGATCGTTCGGCCGCCTTCTGTGTCAGCGTTAGGTGCAAAACGCAGTTTGAAGTTGGGATATCCAACATCAAAACAGGTCTCGATGACCACGTATTGGACGGTTTCGTCGATTGGAGTCTTGCCCTCCAGCATGTCACTCCATTGAAAAGTGGGGTCGAAATTGGGGTGGTCCACAAAGGCTTGCAAAAGTTCTCTGGATCGGATGGAGCGAGGAAACTCGTTCAAGCCCTTGGTTTGATTGGGGTGGTTCCATCCAATGTCTGTCAAAACCAGCTTGATGTTGGGCAACTCAATGGTACGACGTGGATCAGCTTGGGGTGGCCGTTGCACTCCTTCAGAATGGCCACTTCTTGGCGAAACTTGACCGCAATGCGTGGTCGCGACAAACTTCGGTTGCTTTTGGATGATGCATGCATTGAGCTGTCCCCTTCTATTCTATTAATTAAAATAGCTAGCTAGCTGCTTCGCTGGGGGGAGGGGGAGCAGAGGTCCTGGAGGAGATCGTTCCAGAGACTTCTCTTTGTCACTTTCGTTTCGGTGGAGTGGAAAACAAGTCACCAGACCTCCTTGATGGCCGTAACATGTGCCTTTGTTTACACTGTGGCCTCGACAACATCGGCGATTGTTCACCCGCTTGGATCAAGCTGTAGCTCAGTCCATGTGCATCTACATGTAATACAAAAGAACACTCCTAAGTGCTGCTATAGTGATGAACAAATGTAATATCATATCGATTGATCCTCCGCTGTCTCGTACCGGTAGCTCGGCAGGTAGTATCGGTACACACATCTGATCTGCTTGGCAGCTTTGTGCTTGGCAGCTTTGTGCTTGGCAGCTTTCACCCGCTTGGATCAAGCTGTAGCTCAGTCCATGTGCATGCACACAGTTATAATCTACATGTAATACAAAGAACACTCCTAAGTGCTGCTATTGATGAACAAATGTAATATCATATCGATTGATCCTCCGCTGTCTCGTACCGGTAGCTCGGCAGGTAGTATCGGTACACACATCTGATCTGCTTGGCAGCTTTGTGCTTGGCAGCTTTGTGCTTGGAGCTTGGATCCTTCTCGCTTCCCGCAATAAGAACGGGCTGGCTGTGTTTCTGCGTTTCTGCAGTTTCTTTCTTTGTGCCATGTCAGCTGTTTCCACCACTGGTCTTTATTTATTTCTAAAGTTCAGTGCAACCATGTACTTATGAAGTAGTTTACAAAGCTCTATCTACTAGTACACGTAGCTAGCAACTAGCAACTGACGCACTACGGTAGTACAGTACAAGTAGCTCTTTAGAATGTGGATGAATGGCTTGTTTCTAGAAAAGGTTTTGCAGCACCAGAAAACCAGCTGAAAGTGCCATTTATTTAAGTGCCAGAGCAAAGAACTCTTATGTAAAAGGACTCTCTTTGATGTTCTTCTGGCTTCCGAGTGACCCTACTTTAGACTGTTGAAGTTCATTCTGATTTTTTAAATCACTGTGTACTTACTCTGTACTCAGTAGTCTATTAATAATCAGTATTACGGTACTTTTTGCCGGGACTTCCCAACGTCACAGAGACTCGACTCCGTAAGCTAGCTAGGCAACTGAGTCGAGTAAGGCCTACTAGTGATGAGTAAGTATCACCGTATCACCGTAGGAGACCGCGCAAGTTTTGTTGTACATGTAGTAGTGCCCGCAGTCACTGCATTACTAGTACTGCATTGAACCACAAGCAGCAAGAAGTGCAAGTCAAAGAAACTGAGTGCCCCAGCTGAGCCCCAAACGGTGGGAACACACAACACGCAGTCTACACCAAGAAGTAGACTACTAAGCTGACACAACGGAGGATGGAAGAAAGCCACCGAGCAGACTCGTCCAACAAAGCTACAGCCAGGGCCAGCTTAACTCACGGTAGCAGTGAAGATGGGGAAGTGCGGCTAATGAAGGACATTAGGATGTCCGTCATCAACTCTTGCAGAGTGCTGGATGATAGGTCCAACGTGGATTCTAGGAGTGTGGAAGGCGGGGGAGACTCGGGATTCTCCAAGGAAGCTGGTAGCGCTGCTCCTAGCGGCAACTTTGGCAATGGCAACGGTGCACCTCTGAGAGACCCCATGCATGACCAGATATCCCACAAGCTGGACACAGCAGCGTTTTTTAAGAATGGCAATAGCGAACAAATGATCGCAGGACAGGGTGAAGCAGATATTGCGGCTGATTTTCCGATGAAAACGTCTCGTTTCAGGGATGCTCACCACCAGATGGTCGGAATCGGGGTGCAGAATACCCTCAGAAGAAACTCACGCATGTTGGCCGAATCCCGGCCCGGTGCCTTTCCTTGCACCGGCATCCTTTCCCCGCGGGACGAGAGTAGTAGTGGGGTGACTGAAACAGAAGAAAACACGGATGTGGAAGCACCGACCAGAGATGTGACGCAGATGCAAAGGCTGTCCATTGCAAACCTTGTGCCTGAAGATGACGATAGATCTGATCTGCAGCAAGCACAAGCAGTGGACGTGAATGCACTGCAGGAGCGCAATCATGAGCGAGACGAGAAACGAAAGATACTGGGACTGGCATTCCGGGTGGCTGGCATTGGTGGAATCCTTTTCTTTGTGGTTGTCTTGATCCTGTCATTGTGCTTGAGGCACGAACAGCAGGAAACTGCAAAACCCATGTCTCCGGAAGCCACAGGAACGCAACCTCCTGTTGTTCAGACTCTCAGAGAGCACATCATGTCCCTCCTCCCAAGCGACACAGTATCGCATGTGCTTCAAGACCACACCACCCAGCATACTGCCTTCCAGTGGCTCATCCAAGATCCCAACATTAGCGACTATTCTGATGCCCGTATCCTACAACGCTTTGTCCTGGCCACATTCTACCTCTCCACTGGTGGTGCCTATTCCAACGAAACCATGACCTCTTCATCTTCTGCATCTTCTAAATCATCCCTTTCTTCCTGGTCTAATGAGGACAAGTGGCTCTCCTATCACCACCATGAATGTGATTGGTGGGCACACAATACATCATCACTGTATAGCATACCAGAAGAACAGTATGATCTTCTCTACAATTTCAGTGGAAATCCTTGTGATTCAGATGGGAACTTCCAGCACCTTTGGTTGTGGCAAAATGGGCTGAGGGGGAACCTACCACCAGAGCTATACCTGCTGACCAATCTCCGCAGCATCACGATTGACAGGAACGAACTTGAAGGAACCATTTCATCTCAGATTGGAAATCTGGAGGAGTTGGAGGCACTGGCACTTTTCCATACAGACTTGACAGGAACCCTGCCCTCTGAGGTAGGCCTTTTGACACAGTTGTCCTTTCTTTGGCTCATGAGCAATGAGCACCTGGGAGGGACTATCCCAACAGAATATGGTCAGCTGTCCAAGTTGCAGTACTTTCTTGTGGACAGCGCAAGTCTTACAGGAAGCATCCCAACTGAAGTTGGTAATCTATCTGATTTGATTTGGCTATTCTTGTACGATAACCAACTGACTGGCTCGTTCCCAACAGAAATGGGCAGGATGCAGGCACTGGATACATTGTGGATTTGGATGAATGAGATTTCTGGGCCTATACCATCCGAGTTTGGTCTCCTGGGAAAGATGTTGGGACACATGGCCATTGATGTGAATCCATTGGAAGGTTCACTCCCCACAGAACTCGGGCGTCTATCCACGCTGACACTGCTCCATGTGTCTGACTCAAAACTGACAGGCACGCTCCCGACGGAGCTAGGCCTTCTTGGCAATCTAACTTCAGTCACAATCAACACTTGTGATCTGTCTGGGACGTTGCCTAGCGAAGTGGGACTCCTGACCAATGCATTCCGCTTCTGGAGCTGGAACACTCACTTCACCGGAACCATTCCAACAGAGTTTGGTCGTTTGGCAGCCATGGAAACGATGGCGTTCGATGACAACGGTCTGGTGGGGTCGCTGCCATCTGAACTTGGATTGCTGTCCAACCTCTCCCACCTGTATTTCACTGCCAACATGCTCACTAGCTCAGTTCCAACAGAGATGGGCCAGTTGCCAAAGCTTGATGGAAAGCTCTGGTTGCAGTCGAACCAGTTAACAGGTACGAAGATGTCGTTGGGCACACTGGTACTTTTGCTCAAATCAGATTGGGCAGCATATATTACTTACACTCATTTTCTTCTTGTTCTTCCCACCGATCTCTACTCAGGGCCAATCCCCAGTGAACTAGGTCTGCTTCAGAATGTTTCAGAACTATTGCTGCATGACAACAGGTTCACAGGATCAGTGCCATTTGAACTGGGAAGTTTGGAGCAGCTGAAAGTTTTGGCAATCTTCAATAACAGTGAGCTCAAGGGGAGTATTCCTCCAAGCCTCTGCAATCTCACTTCTTGGGATACGCCAGCAATTGTGAAGTCGAAGCAAGGGGGTATCCAAGTGGACTGTGAAAAGGTGGAATGTCCATGCGTAGATATTTGCATTTGCTCCTAATGGAGCATTGGCTGGGATAGTTGCTTCTGGGTGCTTCAACTTTTTAAAGGAGGGAGGGACCACTGCGTTCTTGGCTGCTCATACAAGTTACACTAACTTCATTTTAGCAAGGATTGCACCGAAAGTACCCGTAGAAGTGGAACTGCATGTGTTGAGCTAGTTCTGATTTGGCCCGTAATCGTCTCAAGAGGACCTCCAAGGCTCCAACCTTGGCTCGATCGCTAGCAAAAACGGAGTGCCCAAGCAAGGGAACGACACCACCTTCTGGCAAGCCTATGTGGGTTGTCCGATGTAACAGTAACTGTGCCCCGGGCATGAAGAACAATAAAGCTTGCCATCTCTGGCCGCTTCCATCCGGGCTAGCTGGCTGCTTTGCCCTTTGCTGAGGGAATCAGAGATCCTGGAGGTTCAAGATGTTGACTTTCGTTTCAGTGGAGCGGAAAGGAGGCCACCGTGCCCGAGGTGGGCGATAACGTGTGCCCCTGTTTACATGTTTACATTACAATTGTGGCTTACACAAGAACACCGGCAAATTGTGCACCCACTCCAGAGCTGTAGCTCAGTCCACGTGCAGCTAATACAATTGGCAGCCTTAAGTGCTGCGATAGGAACAAAGGTAATTGTAGCTTAATTATCATTTCGATTGATCGTCCGATGTCTCGTAGCTCGCCAGGTACGACAGTACGATATCCTCCCCTTTGGCCACCCATTCGCTTCTGTTCTGCTGGGCATAGTTCAAGTACTCATCACTGGAAACCCCAAACACCCCACAAGTTTCGAGCTTCTTCGCAAGAGGGATGATGTAAAAGTCAAAGAATCCAATCTCGCCTTGATACCATCCTTCGCTAGGGTCCTTTTCCAATCTACCATCTAAGAATGCTCCATACATTTCGTGGAACAGTCTTTCATTCTAGTGGTAATATTATTAAAGACGGGCCGATTGCAAAGATGTGAGTCGTCGATCCTAAACGTGTTCCTTCGAGAGCAACGATCCTGGTTCCTTACCCATTTGGAGAAAACATGCCAGTGCTGCATGGTATGGGCCACTGGAAACGATGAAAGCAGCAAACGTATGAGATCACATCCATTGCAGCAACAACTTTCGCGTTATATGGAACTTACCATCCGATGCTTGGATCAAGTGCTCCAAAACTATGGTGGCTTTCCTGTTGACGTCGGTCAGCGCATCTTCATTTTCCATGGATGTCAGACTCTTCCGAGCGGTGTTGCCTTTTCCTGAGCCAGACCCCTCAGCACTGAAGGCCTTTTCCCATCGAGCTCTTCGAAGGGCACCGAGTTCTTTGTCCATGATGTCTGCAAAAGAGGACAAGCAAACCGTTTCAATAAGACCGCTGTATCCTCAAGAATCAAACCACGGGATCCACGGACGAACGAACGCACCTGTTGCCAGTACAATGTTGACAATCACGGCTCGAAATCGTGCGAACTCGTCTTCGTTGCAATAGATGCACGCTCTCAAATCGTCGAAGTCGCGTTGCATCAGGATTTCCCAAGAGAGCACAACCGAATTCTGGAGAAGGCAGCAGAATCAAATCGGTGAGCTACGACGTGTGAACGAGGCGAACGCTGAAGGGCTTCGCTACGTACCTGTTCTGCGACGCTCTTCTGGTTGTACTTGACCGCGATAGGGTCGTTTTCATTCACAAGAACTGTGTTGCTTACGCCCGGATGGTCGCTGGAACAGTTTTCAAAGGAGCAATGGTCGTTAGGAGCTTTGTTCTTAGAGTTGGTTGTGCCAGAGGCTTTTTCAGCAAACTTACACATCGTGAATCAAGGCGCTAAGGACGCAAGCAAAGTGGGTCAATGGATCTGAAGTTATGCCTGACAAACGATAGCGACAGCATGTTAGTATTGCTTGGTGTGCACGCCGTCAGATTCCAACATTCTGTCATCATCATACCGAAAGTGTGGTCGTGGAATTGGGCTGCGATTTGATGTTGCTTGCCGCTACGATTGCGAACATCAGCTGGGTTGATGATTCTACCAAGTAGTTTGCTAACGGATTGTGTCACGTGTGATGCGTGCTCTGTGGAAAAACACACACGGGGTAAAACCAAGAACAAGGTAGGTGAGAAACAAACGGGCATCAGTAGCAAGGGCAAGCTCTTCGTCAACATTTCTTACCGAAGTTATGGAAGCTGTTTGGTCGGTAGAGCTCCGCGATCTTAGTAACGTAGAGTTTGAGCTGTTGGTGTACTCTAGGGGAGATGCTGACACTGTCTGGGTCGATGGAATTCTTGAATATTTTTGCGTCGAATTGAGGAAGCGCCAGAATGTCTTTGACTTCGTCTAGAACAGGGCCTTCCCGTGCTTTGAGGTTCTTTCGTTGATTCCTTGTGGCCATTTTCGGAGGATGGGAGGTTCGATGCACCACAATCTGATGCAGGAGTTTGGCCAGGATGTCAACATTGTATTCGACCAGCCTCTGCGTCTTGGAATTCTCATCGGCCGGAGCCAACATGTTTCGCATGGATCTGCTGCTGGCATCTGCTATCATATCTCCGTCTATTGACTCAATTTCGCTGTTGTCTTCTAGGAGACCCAGACCCAACGACTTGATGGAACCAGCCGACGGGACATACAATCGCAACCAGAACGTTTGTAGTTCGCCTTTGCCTTTGGCCATGACTGGGTCAGCTCGCGGAAGCACCCACTTGGCTTTTCCGGCGGCAACTAGGAGATCTGCCGTCTCGGAGGAAAGCTGAATCTTTCCACGCATTCCTGTTGTTTCGAGACGACTTGCAGTGTTCATTGCTGGAAAGAAAGCAACGCAGAACATGTTGAGTTGGAATGGCAGCCATGAGCAAAGTAAGTGCCACATCATAGTCCACTTACCGTCTCCAAACAGCTGAAGGCGACGGAGGACAAATAAGAACCAGAAATCAAATCCAATGGTTTAGACAGGCCCTCGCAACTTGATTGAGCAACAGTCCAAGCTCCAACTCGCTGCAGCTCACTCACTTGAAAACGACCTTTCTCGCCTCTCAAAACGCCCGCTGTGACCGGACCACTATTGTTGCGCAGGACAACCAATGTCAGATTGGGCTCCGATTGGCAGCAGTTATATCGACAAATAAATGCAGCGCATCGTTGAAGACTTACGAATGAAGGCCGATTCGAAGACCCAAGTCCGCCGTGTCTGGTCCGAGTGACTTTTCGAGTTGCTGTGTCAGTTCATCCATGCGTCCCAAGCAGTCACTTGAGAATCTGGGAGATGCAGGAAAACGCTGCATGTGAGCCGCATCGTGATACCGGTGCAGGTGGTGCCCGCAAAACGCAGGTTCCTTTGCTTACCTGGCCATCGCCACAGCGTGGTCCTTTCGGGGTACAGGAAGTCCTGCCACTGCTACATAACTGTACGACGAGTTGACAAACATGATGAGAAACAATTTCTGACTTCAACTCGCACACAATGGGACCGTTCACTTACCAATCTCCAACTAAAACATCACCAACGAAAACACCAACAGAAATCGATGAGGGAATGTTCCGCCATCGTACAAAGCCTTTCCTACAAACAAGCAACACGTACCAGTCTCCACCTGTATACACGCAAGGCAGAAGTTGGAACATGAGCGCGAACACTTGGCAAAGTTCTGTGACCGGGGATAACTCCTTCAACAATCACTTACCTTGAAGATCTTTCGATGCCTGTAAACAAACAAACAATCAAACGAGCCGCAGAGAGTACAATCAATCACTTTGTTTAGCTTTGGCCCTCATGAATCAATCAATCAAACAATCCATCATGAAGGTGCGTGCTTGCTTACTTGGCAATACAATCGAATGCATGATAGATCGTCTCCAAGAGAGTGAATACCTGAGTGGGATCACGCGTTGATGCCCATGCGGTGAATCCTGGTAAGACAGTACAAAGAGAAACGGAAAAGTTGAGGCTTTAGATCCTAGCTTGGAGGAAGAACGAACAACAACTCCCTCTTGCCGGCCTCGAACGTACCAACCATATCGGCAAACCTATAACGGTGCGTAGAGGCAAGTAGCACGACCACGTTAGTCACGTGAGACCAACAATACCAGAATGTGCAAAAAAATTAAGCAGAAACACTTACATGATTGTGGTTGCCGGGAACAGATCGGCAATGGGTTTGGATCCAAAAATGGCTTCACTGGTGATCACAGAAAGGGGCCCACTATCGGCACTGCCACGACGGTTCATACTGCCACCGAGACTATCTCTTTTCGAGGCACTGGATCGGAATACCGAAGGGTCCTTTGTACTGCTTCTCTTATTTCGTGGTTGCATGAGCTTTAGGTCGTCTTGCGATGGCTTGAGTTCCTGCATTAGTCGTTCTCGTACATTGCTGGGGAACAAACTCGAGACAATGGCACTGGTCTTGTTGGCAGCTTCCATGACCTTGCGTTGCCGTCTCTGTACGGCAAAGTCGTAAATGCCAAAAAGTACCGTGGTGATAAGGAAACACGTAATGACCAAAACGGCGTACACCATGGCATTGTCACTAAAGTAGACTTCGGCCCAGTCTTTGGAGGGATAGATTCGTGCCGAGTAGCGACAAGTGGCGTTACTTCCTCCGAGTTGGTCAAACGTCACGGTTTGCTCCATGAGATCAAAGCGGGGGTCGTGCAGATCATCATCCCCCAAAAAGACAACACTGACTCCAGACACTAGAAATGTCATGGACTGGTTTCCACAGGTTCCGTCCAGCACCAAAAAGACGGGTTCTGTTTCCGCCTCGGGGAGGGCTCCTTCAAAGAACCGCTCCCACCCTAAAAAGGCACTGAGAAATGCCACCATTTGCCGGTTCCACTGCAGGTTATCATAGACGGGTTGGAGGAGGTAACTTCGCGGGGCACCTCCCAGCTTGATGCGTCCTTCTTTGTAGTTCTTGGTCAAATAAGAATCACCACCGGCATCGGCGGCCGTCACGACGGGATGATCGTGTTGCATCATATCCGCAATGACGGGAGCAAAATCGCCCTGATGGGTTGCAAAATCGAGATTGGTGGTGGGCAGATAATCTTCGGCGGGAGCTCGTTGCCAGGCAGGAAAGTATGTGTCTGCTTCCGTGCTTTCGACACGACGACGTTCCTCGTCGTTATTGTACATCCAAATAAAGGGTGTGATGCCAGTGTCGTTCCATCCCTGATTTCGTTTGCTGCTGCTGCTGCTGCTGCTGTCATCCGATGCCGCTTGGTAGAGTTCGGGATGGACGTGATCGTCGTAACGGTGTGCCCGCAGCAACCAATCGTGATGCTCGACAGTAAAGTTCTCCCAGGCGGGTCGGTCATCCCGACTAACAATGGGATGGAGGGTCAGAGTGGCCGCTCCGGTGATTTGATTGGAGAGGAGTCCTTGTACTTGAAAGTCGGGAAAGAGTGCAAAAGGCCACTGTGTGTTTGCCTGCTTGGCCTGTGTGGTCAAGCTGACACTGACCGTCTCGAGGTTGTCCATGACGCTGCGACTGCGGAGTTGGACTGTGGAAGAGATCTCTTGTACCACCACGTCAAACTGTTATAGATAGATAGATAGATAGATAGATAGATGGTTAGAACGAGATCAGATCCAAGGCAAGACAAGCAAGACAAAAAGAGAAAGAGACAACAGAAAGACTTACAGAAGTCTGATAAGTCGTCGACTCTTGGTGTCGAACATAGCTAAACGTATAGATTCCAGCCGCGGCAGCGAGCACCGAAACAATAATGACAATCAACATCTTGGAGCAATTGACAATCTTGGTTTCGCGCAGTCCAATCACTTCTCGCGGTTCGGAATCATCGCCCAGCATTCCAGTTCCACTCTCTTCGTCTTGAAAGGACGACGCCTTGCTGCTCACATCGTCGTCGTCATCGCGGCTGGCATTGGAGCTCGTCTTGTTGGTCGAAGAGGGAAGTGTCATGGCGGTGCTGCCATTTTGTTTTAGTTTCTCCAAAAGGTTCGTCATGGTGGCAACTTATTAGTAGAAGTTGGAGTTTATGGAGAAAAAAAGCAGTCAGTCAAGGCAAAAAAAATATTGTGTTTCAGCTTCCCTCTTCATCAGGCAAGCTACATGTTGCTACTACGAGTAGCTTGCCATGGTTGAAGGAAGCCCTGGGTCAGTGTCCGAGCCTCTATCATAGTAGCTGGCTCCAAAGATTATTTCTCGTTTCTTGACATGCAGTCTTGCCCCTTTCTGCAAAACCAACTCAATCGAACGGAAGGGCTATTGATTCGATTCACTTATTGAGGTGGCATGAAAGTTTGGCAACGTCAGCCAAAAGTGTGACCCAAGGCAATTGATGAACCGCCACTCCACCTTCCCCTGTCATCTGGCGTCAATTCTGCTTCTACCCAGTTATTTAACATAATGACACCACATCCGAAAATGACTTGTTCACATGGCTTCACATTTAGATGGTTGCCACACTTTTCAAACCTGACTTGTCCGCAACTATGTCCATCGATTCTTTCTACTGCAATTGTCTACGTAAAACCGCAAGCACTTGCGGATACTGTACAGTACAGTACTAAGTACAGTATAGCCTCTACTCAATTAATGATAGATACTTAAGCCTTTAAAAGTCAATTGCAACAATAGTTACTTTTAAATCCAAGGTCATGCTGTTAAAACCTGATTGGCAGACAACCATAAGATTTTAAATAGGCTGGGGAAACTCATTGTAATTGACTTACAACTGTGCCCAGGCATTCTTGCAACTGCAACCTTGAACATAGGCTTTAACATGAATGAACTGGCTGGAATGGCCCTTCCAGATGCCAGGAAGGCTGGGTTGTTGTTGCCAATTTCTGATGCCTCGAAGCTAGACTTGGTACTTAAATCGATAAGTCCTCCGTTACGTTGATGTATGTTATCTCCGCGTGTGGAATGAACTCTGGCAATACTACGGAGTATGACATACGTACTGTACAGTTTGTCACACAGTGTCAGACACATCATACATACATGATGTATTGTTCTGGTACTGCAGTCAGTACGGTACGACTGTACCTGGTACCGGTCTGCATGTCTGCATAGTCTCTAGCTAGCTATTTTAATAGAGTCTAGAGTTCTCAGCTGGACCTCTGTGGAAACGTCATTCGTGGCAAAATACTTAAGAGACGATACACCGACGCATAGGAGACGATTGAAAGGATTTAGGAGACGAAAGCAATCGTCTCCTATATTTAGGAGACGATTCAGTAGAAGACATTCCAATAAGGAGATGATCATTTCGAAATAGGAGACGATCCTAAAGATTCAAGAGACGATACCATACAGTTTACATGGTACACTTAGGAGACGATCCGTTGAGAATAGGAGACGATCCGTTGAAAATAGGAGACGATTCAAGAGAAGACGATCCGTTTCGTCTCCTATTTTTAGGAGACGAAATCCATTAAATAGGAGACGATCAAAAGGATTTAGGAGACGATCGGTTGCACGACTCGAATTTCCACAGAGGTCCTGTAGGAATTCCACGAGCGGATCCTGGAAGAGAGCTGATGGGTAGGTTAGGTAAGTGTAGGAATAGAAATAGATTTACTTTAATGTTTGGAAAGAAGATTTTATTACCGCAACTACCTGATTTTCAAAGTTGTCGTCCTTGCTTCCTTGAGTCACGCTGTTAAAACCTGATCTGTATGTCCTCAACAATGTCAATGGGTTCTTTCAACTGCACCTTTGTCACACTGATACTTGTAGTACTGTAAGTAAACCAATGATTTATCCAATCATCTGCTGAACTGCTGACGGGGCTCAATGGTACTCTACTCTAGTATTGCCTTGGCTTAGCCACCATTCCGCATTCTGTACCATTGAGCCATTGAGGATTCAATGGCTTTTTTAAAAGGAAGTGTGCGGGAGGAAGTACAGTACCAAGTCAAGCTTACTGGCATCACAGCAACTCTCCTCTTCACCAGTCAAGAAGCTGAAGGAACAGAGACTGGTGAAGCTACTAGCTAGTAGCTTCACCAGTCAAGAAGCTGAAGGAAGTACTGGCACCGTGAGCTCCACCGGTACAAGGAAGGATCAAGTCCAGCTTCCTGGCATCAGAGAGAAAAAAGGAAATGGCACGCCTTTGTTAGCGTTGGCGACATTGGTTGGATCCAGAGCGGGGTTTTAAAGGTGACGGAGCTGACGATGGATTTGGCTGTGGAGCTGATGATGGTGTGCTTGTCGGGACTACGGCTGTATTGAGGCTCCGCAGTCAGATTACGGATTTGGTTTGGGCGATCCCGGCCGTCATTGGGTTGGTTGAACCAAGTAAATGTAGGCTTCACTCTAGGTATCACTCTAGGTATCATTCTAGGTATCGCCGATGGCATGGCTGACGGTTTAGCCTCCTCATTCCCTCGTTGCAGGGAATCAAACGCTGATGGAGGAAGAGGAGGTTGGCTAGTTTTCAATTCTTCCCCGGCTTGCAGTTGCAAGTTTCGTTTTGGAACTCGGTGGAGAGATAATGTCTTTCACGAGCTTCCTGATCCATTCGAGGCCATGGCTCTTCTTGAGGTCATTGATTATCTTATGTCTTGGGGTTGTCCATGCTTTGGAGTATCATATACAGAAGAATAATGATCAGTTCCGGTTCCTCCTCTTTCGTTGCTTGGCTTCTCTATCTGGTTCGTTTGCTTTGTCTTGTCTTGTTGTCGCTTGGAGTAGCGTTGTACTTCCTCGTGTAGGGTCGGTACCTGGTTTGGAACCAGTCCAGCTTTGTTCCCTGCCTCGAAGCGGAGTGGGTAGATTTGCATGGCTAGTTTTCGTACTGCTACCAGTACGGTACGCGAAGGCCCTCGACCCCCGACGCTGCCGTCTGTTCGACTCACTACTGAACTGTCCATGGATGGCACCATCCAATCTGCCAACTAGCTACACAAGACCCTCCAGTGCACCTAACCTTGCGCCTACTAGCTAGTAGCAGCCAGCCCATCACATGTCCGTCGTCAACCCGCGCAAAGCAAGCTGGCTGAATGCAGCGATCACGATTGCATGGGGATTGGGTGTCGCCTTTTGCAGGGGCAGCAGGCATTGCTGCGCGTTAAGATGAAAGATACAACGAGTTGAATTCTTTGGGCCTGCACAAGAAGCAGGAGTTCAACAGCATCCTTGCTAGCCAGAAGCGTCAACAGGATCACCAGTATTCATTATATCATTTCCACACAGCTAAACTCTATTATTTCACGACGACGATATTCTCTTTTAAAAAATCAATCCATGTGAAGATTTTCATTCAATCGGCATCATACAGTACATAAGCCTGGCACCTCCATTGAGACTTTGTGCCGCTTCATCCACAACAGGGAGAAGTTTAGGGGGTTAAGCAAAGAAGAGTCAGTCCAAATTCAGGACTAGTAGGTTCCGTGGGATCAGGGGCTAGAGATTGATGACAGGATAGAATAGCACCATGATAGTGATGATATCTACCAAGCATGCGCAAATCCTTCTATTGCCAGCTCAAACTCAGAGATCTTTTTCATGGCTGGTTGCCAGCAACAAACTTGAACCTGCCATCAAAAACGGTGAGAATAGTACAGTCCTGCATCGTCCTTGCCAAGAACCCAAACAGGGCTCCTACGTACATCCAAATTCAAACTTGAACCCATCAACGAAAGGAGCAAGCTTTTGTCAGGGATTCTCCGTGGCCACTTTTGCTTGAACTGCGTGCTGCACAGACAAGGGCCTGATCAATCCCAAAACGGACTCCATCGCTTCGGGGACTCTCGCAAAAGCCCATACAATTCGTTGGCGACGTCCAGTTCCGTTACGCCTTGCCGCATGCTATCGGCGTGATTCAGAAGGCTGATAAAACCATCCAAAGTCAGGTCGACTTCTCGAACCTTACCCCTCCCTGCCATGTTGTTTGCAACATAGTATGAGAGCGGATCACTACTGGCATTTGCTGACGTCGTGAATGTGTTGAGTCTGATGCGCGATATAGTAGTATTGGAGCACCAGAGAATCTCTTCAAGATACTCTTGGTATGGCACTGTGTTGCTTTCCCCATCAAACACAAAGGCTTCGAGGCTTTTGTTTCCGGCCAGGGCATTCAAGAGAGGGTAGAGTTTACCTGTAGGAGTTCGGGATGCACGAATATCCAGCTCTCTCAACACAGCATGCTCTTTCATAAGAAGTTCACAAATGATGCGGCCTGTGGAGAGGAGATCCTTGATGATGCATATTTCGAGTTTCACCAGATGTTTCAAATGCAAGGCACAGTCTTTGAGCAAGCTGTGGGAACAGGCATTGTCCACCCCATCCCAAAGTTGCAAATGTTCAATCTTGGAAGTGGACGCTAATGACCTGAACTGAGGGGTTTGAAACCACTGCTGATTTATGTTGAATTCAAAAGTGTTGGGTACGCAAGTGATTACCTTCTGAAGCTTGATGCTTGCTAGTAGATTGTGCCAAACCTGCATGAAGGCATCACTCTTCCACTTCTGGCAATAGTTGTAAAACTTGACACAGCTCAACAGCATGGGTACCATCCCATAAGCACAATCCATATTGAGATGAGCACGGAACTGAGGAGTGTTGCTATCATCAACCTCCGGAAACATTGGGGGGACAACTTGCCCTCCATTGGATCCCTCCTCTTCCAACACATCTCCTGGAAACCGCATGGACTGATCATGAAACATGGGACTGAGTTGAAAAAGAAACTGGATCAAGCCTCGGCGGAATCTCGACCGGCGCAAGGCAATTCTGAGAGCATTGACGTATGGGTACAAATTGGAACTGAGGCTGCCTGGATGAGCCTGTGCAAGAGCTCGGATATCCATGTCGCTGTGCCCACCTTTCTCCATGGCTAGATTGATGGGATACCACCTGTCATGTGTTTGCACTCCTGCCAGCTGGGTATTCCTGTTGACAAGGTATGCCAGGACACCCACTTGGGCGCCACAGCGACACAGATTCCAGAAGAGATTCTGATCCAATGCAGCGGGACAAGCATCATATAATCTCGTCACTGTTCCGATGTCTGCCTTGGCCATCAGTGCCAACTCCAAAGGAGAGAACCGGAGGTTGAAGTAAGTTCTTCTGGAGCCGTCAGCTGGGGCATTCAAAGCCGGCGTAAGCACTGCGTCTATCAAATCCGCTGCACCCTCACCACCCGCACCTCCAGTCGATGCATCATCGGCAGCCACGGGGATACCGAAGAATCGCCATTCGGTTTGGCCTTGTAGAACTCGAAAAAGTTGGTCAAATGGGTTTGACATGGTTTCCCTGATCCTTTTGGATTCACTACAGCCAGTATCCGATCAATCAGTCAAGCGCTCGAAGAAAGATGCAGGAGCACCAAACAGAATAGACTACCAGCAATAGAATGATCCAAACTCGTGCACTAGACTCCCGCACCAACTTCCAATGCCACCACCCACTTCGGATCAAGCTTTTGGACTCGACTCGACTCGACTCCGATGACACGAATTGCTCGTCATCTGGCTTTGAACCCCCCAGTCCTTCCTCGACCGGCAATACTTCGCCTGTCCTTTGTCAGTTTTGGAGGTGATTTTTGTGCTTGTTGATGAGCTGTTGCCGCTCTTTTCGTAATCCGCCTTCCGCTGTTCTACTGTAGCTACCGGTAGTAGCTTCCAGTAGCTCTTACTGGTACCATGGTACCGGTAGCTACTACATGTACATACCGGCAGTCGGCAGCAATGCCTTCCAAAGAATGCTTCTTTTCGTGCGTCAGACTATTGCAGACAGAAAGAAAAGAAGCAAAACTGCATGCGGACATGTGCGTCAGAGCTTTCCAACAACTCTGACATCACGCTTGCATGCTTACTACCGGTACTGTGGGGTGACTGAAGTGTAGTTAGTGATTGAACGGATGTGCAAAAGTCTTTGCTCCCGATCGTGTCCCTCATGCATGCAAGCAAGCCTCAAGCCAGCAACCCAGAGCCCAGAGTAGCACGTACTATCATAGTACTGGTACTGGACCTACATATGTCAATACAATACACCATAGGATGTGTCGGGCCCGTCCCGTTATCACCGTCATGGCCAAGCACTACCAAATCACGATTGTCTGGGCTGGCTCCTTGACGCAAGGTTACCTGCATGGTGTTGGAGTTGGCAGATTTGATGTGCCAATGACATTTCAGTTGTGAGGCGGTTTGTAGTGGTAGATCTACTGAGGGTCCAGCAATGATTCACCACAAATCATGAGCTCTTTGTTGAAGAGAGTGGGGTTGCTAAAGAAGATTGGAGGAGGTGGGGAAAGAAAAAGGATGGTAGGAATGTCCGACTATCCTGTTTCCAGGGCTGTGGTGTAGTCACTGAGTCACTCTCTTGTAACACAGGTTCCCATGTGTTTAAAAATTGAATGATGATGAGTGTTGTAGCTATTCAGTCGCATGCTCTATTCCAGTGGTACCTGGAATAGAAATTCCAAATCTTCGGGGACTTCATGCTGGTATGCTTCGTAGAACTGAGTGAGTTGTCCGATTGCTTGTGCTTTCTTTGCTTGTGACTTGGTTCTCATGTCGTGCCCATGTCTGTCTTGGTTGCGCATGCCCCAGAGTTTCCACCATTCTTTATAGATAATGTCAATGAGTCCAGTGAGCCATGTGAGTTCATTGTTGTGTTTGGTTGCCATCTTTTTCATGTTCAATTATCGGTCTTGTTCCTGACTGAATTGTTTGGAGATTCTCCTCTTTAACAGATGATGCCATCCAATGGCATCTTGGGCTTGTTTCAGTGTGTCCCATGACGGATCCTCTTGGATTGTTGTTGGGTTTTGGTGATGCAGTAACTGATACTAGCTAGCGCTAGTATTAGGTTTCCATTTTGGGCAGTCGTTTTGGCTGCCGCGCGAAGTGATTGCAATTGCAGAGGGGATGGGGTGTCGCCTTTTGCTGCCAAGTTTCGCGCCTCGACTCTGTCCTCGCTGCAGGGCCGCAGGCATTGCTGCTCGTGAAGATGCGACGAGTTTGGGGCTTTCACAAGAAGCATGCCAAACATAAACGTACAAGAGATCCTATCCTGGCAAGCTACAAGCGTCATCAGAAATCACCATTTACTTTATATCATTATCCACACAGCTACACTCTATCTCCAACAAACACGACGACGACGACAAGTTTCTTTTAATCCATATGAAGGTTTTCATTCAACCCGGCATCATACTGCCGGTCTCCTCGGGTGGCTTCCGAGGCGGCATATGCCGCACCGCCCGTGGCCATCATGGCGGCTCCTGCGCCGGGTTTGCCTCGTGCCAAGAGCAGGGCACCTCCTACGACGGCAGCTGCCGCGAAGAAATCCGTCACCTTGCCATCCTTGTTTAATTCTTTGACCGTTTCTCCCGCTTTTGTGGCGCCAACCTTGACCGTTTCTCCAGCCTTGGTGGCGTTCGTCTTGACGGATTCTCCCAATTTCTTGGCACTTTCTTCGACCTTTTGTGCGGCTTCCTTGACTTGTACTTCGACGGCCTTGGTCTTGTTGTGCCAATCGACCTCGTCGGCTTTTTCTTGAATGGTTTCCGTGAAACGAACGGATTCTCGGTCTAGGGTTGCCTTGGCGACAGTGGCTTCTTTCTGAATGGAATCTCCTAGTTTGGTGAGAGAATCTCCCACTGTCTTGACACTGTTGCGAGCTCTGTGTTGAAGGTTGTGTTTAGCATCCGCTTCCTTAATGACAGTTCCAAGCTTATTGAGGGAACCCTGCAGCCATCCTGGGAGACTGGGTTTTCTTGCTGGTTGTTGCTGTGGGGTTTCCGGGGTTGTTTCCTCTGGGACTTTTGTCTCGTCCTCCTTAGAGAGCAGTGGCTCTTGCTCTTCTTCCTCTTTCTTCTCTTCGTCAACAGCAACGCCTTCAGCAACATCCACGGTTGTGTTGGTTGCCTTGGTGGTAGACCCTTCCGAATTTTCCACGCTCGTCTGCGTGGATACCGAATTCCCTAACGAAGCCTTGGTGGCAATTTCGGTGTCTTCATCAGGAGTTCTGTCCGTCTCTTTGGGATGAGTCTCCGCTTCCTCTGGTTGTTCCTCCTTGGCCGCTGGTTCTGCTGGTGGATCTGATGGTGTTTCCTGTCTTGGTTCCACGCTCTCCACTGTGGATGATGGTTCCTCGCTTTGCGATTCCTCTTGAGCTCCTTCGTCTGAGACCACCTCCCAGTCATCTTCAGCGTTATAATCCTTATTCATCACCATTGTAGTATCTACTGTGTTGCGTTGTTTCTTGCTTTGCTTTGGAATTAGTTGTGTTGCTTCGTTCTCGACTTTCGACTTTTTTGTGTTGTGATGTCTCCACATCTTTCCCTTGCACGCAAACGATAAGTCGTGCGGTATTGGGGCTGATTCGTGAACCCTAATGTGTCCCGCACCGAGCTTTGGCATATCCCAAAACACTGTGTATGATGACGTGGCAATCGACCTCATTCGATAGCAATCGAATGTTGAGTTCCGAACAAGCTCGACGGTGCATGTTTGAGGGGAGGATTGGAAGAGGCGGAGCCAAGATCTTCATGGTAGGTACCTGTGGTGTCGTATGCATAGAGCTCCGCCACTCGCGAGACTCCCACACCAATGTGGCACAAAATCCAGGCAAACATGAAAATGGAGGCAGCCTTTTTGTGGCAAGGCATGCGGTGAAAGTTGGTTACACTAGCCAAAAACTCGTCCAAGGGGATGCAGGAAATAGTACGTGGTAGGTTGATTTGTGGCTGCCACCCCCAGGAGAGGGGGAGGATTGGAGGAGTCGGAGCCAAGATCGTCATGGTACAGCGTACGTAGTGTCGTTCAGTGTGCATGTGTGCATAGAGCCGCAGACAAGTCCGCCACTCCCGAGAGCACAAAACCCAGGCAGCCAAACATGAAAATGGAGCAGCCTTTTTGAGGCATGCTGCCTGGTATGAAGCAACATCCCAGCAAATGTCGCCTAGACAAGAAAGTGCAAGGAAATGGGTCTGCTTATATCCATGGACATTGCATGCAACCGGTTTGAACTCTAGATGGTCGGAAAAAAAATTGAAAATGCTTTTCGCTTCAGTAGCAAAGCAAAGGCAAGGCAAGGCCATAAGAAACTAATGAAGATGCAGCCATGTTCCCTGTCACATCATGGGCGGTACGGTAGCTACAAGCGGAATCCTCTGGCGATGCCAAGTAAGTGTTTATCGATTGAAAGTGCAAATTCTGGCTGGGGATTCGATTCGGGATACGGCCCTTTTTATCAATCTAGCTATCTGAGGGGTCTGACAAACAACACAGCGAACGATGCAGACTAAAAGAGGAGACTATGGAAATGAACAGCGCTCTATTATAATTTCTGACTTGGCCACAATATCAATAGCACTGCCACATCTCTGTATAATAAAAAGCAGCAAAGGCAATAGAGTTGTCCGAGAGCTTTTACCAAGGCAGCTACTGGTACTACTACGGTACTTGGTAGCTAGCTAGCTAGCTAGCTAGTACAGTGTACATCGTAGGGTGTGCTACCCGTACTATCACAGAAAGCGGCTTCGAATGAGTGACTCGACTCAGTCCCACATCATGTTTCTCCGACCTTTCCGAGAAGAGTTTTTCGGGAAGCTAGGCAATGACCCTTTAACTCCCTTACGCATCTCTTTCGCCCTTTCGCTCTTTCGCTGCTTTGGGAGGGGCGATATAAGCTTATAATATATGGCAGGGTACCGGCAATGACTCTACTTTTAAGTACGGTACTGAGTACGGTACAGCCGCGTCTTGCTGGTTTGCTGGAGGGCTTTACCGCTGGAACATAAGCGTGAATCGAGGGCACCTTCATTTTTTCTCAAGCACATTCTAATCTGATATCGATACAACATGTCCTACTAGCTAGCTACTAGCTAGAGCTAGATACTAGATGATAGTATAATTGGAGAGCAAGGCATACATTGTCATGTATTAAAATAGCTGGAGCGCCTTCCTGGTGATGCCTGGAGCCCAAAGCAGCAAGGGCAAATCGACTTTCACCTTTCCGGCCTTTCCGACCAGAAGAGACGACTGTATTTCTGTCCACCAGAACAGCAGTACGACCATTATTTCGTTGCTTTTTTTAAACAGGAAGAAGCTTGATTCTTGCATCCCGCCTGAAGCTTGGAACTTGAGACATAAAAGTACGAAAGCATGTGTGAATCGAGGGGCAATTGCAATAACACACCAGTTCTACACTTATGACCTATACATGCCTAATTGACATAATATATTATCATCCACCTTTTCACCATTGAGAGCATCCAAGATTGGGATGAGCGGAAGTAAGGGATTAATGGTACTTGCCGAGGTGGCAACCAATAATTATTTCATGGTATATTCGCGCAATGCATTTCTTATCGATCATGCATACCTTTAAATATCTCAATGCTCTCACTTTCCCTAGGACAGAACTCCCGCTTTCAGTTTATTAATAAAGCTAATAAATTTACAAGAATCATGATGCCTCCAAGTCATGGAAAGACACATTATTGTAATTCTTATGCTATGGTCGATGTCGTTTGCACTGCTCGTATGACTTCTTGGCGTTCCTTGCAAATTTAGGGAAGTCGCCTTCTGTTTCCCGTCGCATGCATGGAGCTCATAGGGTTTGGTTGCGAAGTTGAGCTTTCACATTTATTTTGCAACCCTCCGGATCCTTGTTTCCAAATTCTCACAATCCGCAAGAAGACTTCTCCGAAATCCCTCCCTTAGCAAAGAAACAAACACACCGGTATAAAAACGACGACAATGACCTCCACCATGAGCCCCCAAGAGCAACGCACTACTACTGATCTGGAGCCCATTTCCAGCGCGGGCGAAGACTTTCACGATGACGTGATGAGTACTGTCAGTGGCAATAACATGGATGCTTCAACTCGTGGCAAGGCGGCGATCTACGAACTGAATGTGGCCAAGAAGGAAGACAAGTGGGTCTGGCGTCTTCGTGTTCTCACGGCGTTGCTGTTGATCTCTGTAGCGATTTCCATTTGTCTCGTGATCTACTTTACGGGTCGTCAAAGTGAGACCAAGGCGTTTGAACAAGATTTTGAATCGTTGGGCGAAAAGCTCGTGTCGTCGTTCCAGCAAAAGGTCATTCAGAGCTTTCAAGTCCTCGAAAGTTTCAACGACGGAATCACGGCCGAAGCCAATGGGACGTGGCCGTTTGTGACACCGCCCCACTTTAGTGAGCGCATGGAACGCGTGGCCAAGATTTCGCAGTTCATGGTCATTCACTTGATGATTATCGTCACGAGGGAACATCTGCAAGAATGGAACAACTACTCCGTGGAGAGCAGGGATTGGAGACTCACAGGAATGGCACGGGAGCGTGGTCTCCCCATCGAGCAAGTCAATGAAACCATTGAATGGTTCCCCGAGTACTTGTACAATCCGTATACCCAAGAAGGAGTCAACCTGCCCACCGAAGAAACCAACCCGGATGGCCCGTATGCTCCCATTTGGATCACCTATCCCGTCTCGGACTATCCCATTGCAAACTTGGATCTACTGGCCGATTGGGAACACATTGTGCCGCTCGAAAAGATGATTGCTACGGGGAAACCCATCTTTGAGTTCACATACGACTATATGGGACACATGGAACGTGATATTCGTTGGGAACTCATCCAGGGGAATCCATTTGTCGACTATCAAGATGATCCACATTCCACTGTCGTTGTTCCGGGTAAGCAGTGCTGTGCTTGATCGTGCTGTTCAGATATGGATCGGTTGTGCACGCATCTGCAAACATCTCACATTGTTGCTGTTTCCTTCTGTGTATCATGCAGTCTTTGACGGCTTTGGTGATGACCGAAAAGTAGCTGCCAACCTGATGGTGTACATCTATTGGAGAGCCTACTTTAACAATCTTTTGCCACCAGGAGCCGATGGAATCATTATCGTTCTCGAAAACACGTGCAATCAAACGTATACCTATCGGGTAAGTACCGTACCGGTAGTACAAAGGATGCAGCTTTGATACGGGTGTGATGATGAAGATGCCATGTGGAGCTCACAGTCCTCTTCTTGCCTTTTTGATACTCGTTTTCGGCTTCCATGACAGGTCGATGGGTCCGACTCCTTCTGGCTAGGACGTGGAGACCTCCATGACAGCAAGTACGATTACCTCGAAGCTTCCACAAACATTAATGTACTGGCTGGAGGAGATGCGGCCGGAACCACTGACTTTATCGACGACACCGAGAGCGACTTTGCCTACTATGACTGCTACTACAACATTCGGGTCTACCCTTCCCAAGCCTTTGAAGACAGTCATCGCTCCAGCAGTCCCTGGGTTTTCGCTCTCATTATTGCAGCATTGTTCTTCTTCACCACGACTGTCTTTGTCACCTATGCCTACATGGTGGAACGCCGCCAACAAAAGGTCCTCGAGAGTGCGGTGCAATCGGGAAAGCTCGTTTCAACCCTCTTCCCGGAAGAAGTTCGAAAGCAACTCTACAAGGAACAAATCGAACAAGACAACAAGGCTTCTCAAAAGCAGCCAAGCACGTGGGACTTTGTCCCACGTGGCTCGTCGAATGTCGATCTCGAGGGTGGCCGTGGTGCCTTGGAGCCAAAGGCAGCCATTGCCGCCCTCTACCCAAGTGTCACCATCTTCTTTGCGGATCTAGTCGGCTTTACCAAATGGTCCGCCAACAGGACTCCTCAAGAGGTCTTTCAGTTGCTCGAAACCATCTACGGTGGATTTGACAAAATTGCCAAGCGTCGTCACGTGTTCAAGGTACGAATGATGCGGATCGATTCGACTCTGCATTCACTGGACGGCATGCACTGACTGCATGACCGCCATCATGCTTACGCTGGCCAAGTCCTCTCACCGCTCTCCATTGTCTTCTTCTGTTGTCTTCTCCTCCGTTGTTGCCTCTTCGATCGCTAGGTTGAAACGGTAGGTCTTTCCGGGATGCTTGTCTTACAAAACTCTTTTTCAGTTCTGTACTCACAACAACGTTCTCTTCATACCGTGTAGGTGGGAGACTGCTACGTTGCCGCAGTGGGATTACCAGAGCCTGAAGAAAGTAAGCAAAAGATGATGTGTTTCTTCCAATTTGGTCACCCCATTTGAGATATGCCGTCTAATGAGCTCTCCGTTGCTGCTGTGTTGCTGTAGATCACGCTGTCATCATGTGTAAATTTGCCTCCGATTGCCTACGAATGTTGGATTCGTTGGTGATCACCCTGGCTGAAACGCTTGGGGAAGACACCGCCAATTTGTCAATGCGAGTTGGGCTCCACTCGGGCCCTGTCACTGCAGGTGTGCTTCGCGGCGAGAAATCGAGGTGAGTGGTGCATTTGGTAACAGCAACACACGATCGACCTGCAATCCACGTTCTCACATAACGTTGCCGGCTTCCGCAGATTTCAGCTGTTTGGAGATACAGGTATGCTCAAATCCCTTTTTGGAATCTTGGTGTTGCATCTTTGCTGATTCATCTGCCTCACCTCATCGCTTTCTGGTACTTGTTATTGCAGTGAACACAGCCAGTCGCATGGAAAGCACCGGAATCCAGGGTCGCATCCAAGTCTCTGAGGCCACTGCCAATCAGTTGATAGCACGAGGCCGAAAGGGTTGGTTGAAACCACGAGAGGACACCATCGTGGCAAAAGGAAAGGGAGAAATGCAATCGTACTTTGTTCAGATTGCACCATCGTCCTCGGCAAATGACACAGAGTCGATTGATGATGCAGAATTTGAAGATCTTTGATTCTGATATCCCTCCATGGGGGTTTTCCGGGCGTGCCCTCCAGACAATGCTTCTCTTAACTAAGTTACACACCTTCAATATACATGTAAAATGCACCATGAGTACCAATCAAAAAAGCCTTTCGAATATTCATCGTGGCAGATACATCTCACTGTGGCTACGCAAGTAGGCAGTGGCGCGGATGTTTGACTGCTAGCTAACAAGGCACTTTGGGGAATGCCACGGCAAGGGTTAGACTGCTGACTAGCTATAGCAGCAATGCAATACATGCATGTAAGTTCTTCGGGAATCCTTCCAGCAGTCATGACACCATGGCTTGTGACTATCTAGAGGATGGCTCCCACGCTAATTCCATCCAGTCAGGAGTCGCGAAACCGCAAAGGGGTTGCTATCCATAGATGTGCAAAGACGAAGCATCTCAGATTTGTTATACCAATCTTTCTTTTCTTAATTTAATTCTTTTGGTATGTTCATTATTCTTGGTGTCAGGCTGCACATTGTCAAGCTGAGCCCTCCTTTCTGGGTATGCATTCTATATTATGCAAAGTGGTCAGGCCTGCCTAGATGGTGGTGAAAGCTCCACTTCCAGCCATGTCCAGGTCATTGGTGGCTGTCACATCATAGACACAATTGCGAAAGGCACCAGGGTCTTCCTTCAAATGAGCACAGGCAACCTTGGCAGCCTCTTCAGTGATCCCTTCTCCAAGCCGACGAGCCTCCTTCTTGGCCATGTTGGGAAGGAGACACTTGGCTGGGTACTGTGGAGCCCGCACTGCCTGGAAGAGCATGGGCTCATCATCGCGAACCTGCCATTCCTGCCCCATGGCATTGATGTCTCCACTCAAGTCGGTCACACCATCACGGGCCAACATGTGGCCATGGAAGTCGCCCAACAACCCAACAACATTGCCAAAGTCCCTCTTATTGGCATGGTGAACCTTGACACTGACCATGTCCTTCAAGATGCTCATGGTAATGTTGGAATACTCAGAGATCTTAATGTCAAAGCGATGGGTTTTGTCACCGGTAGGGGTATGGAAGATGGGGTACCCGCCAATGCTAGAAATAACATTGCTCTTCCTGAGCGCTTCAGCTTCTTGAGAGTTGATCTTGGCACCATCCACCCCATTGAATGAGTATTCACCCCAACTTGAGACCTCCAAGGTGTCATTGCCAAGACGAACAGCAGCAGTCTCAATGTAGCTGTACAGGTATCTACCAGTGGTTCGGACATGGATGTCCAAATCATCCTTTCCTTGGAAGTTGGGGACATGCATGAGCTTCAAATCACTGCGATGCAGAAGAAGGAGATTGCACAGCGATGAGAGATCTGACCAAACAATGTAGTGAAATTTTTACAAGAAAAACCTACCATTCACCATGATAGTCGAACCATTCTCCTGACCATGACATGATGTGTGGGTCACCCCCCATCATGGTGTCAACACAAGGGGTGAGAATCACAGCCCATGATGTGAGAGTTCCTGAGTCACCATTAAAAACATCGTTGATCTCGAGTGTCCAGTATCCCGTGGAAGAGCGGCTATTAAATGCAGAAAGAGATTGAGCTGGCTTGACATCTGAGCCATCTGGGAGATGGCAGACACCACTAGTTTCGACAGCACCATCAATGATGTTGTTGCTTGAGTCATCAAACACAACATGAAGGTCATCACTGTCCTGACAATCACCAGTCACAAGGTCTGCAACATGAATTGGGGATAATCCTGTCATTGGTCCATCAACATCCAGGCCAATGTCAATATGCAAGTCTCCAGTCCAAGAGTGTGTGATGTCCACTTCAACATCAACATCACAGATGACAAAGTTGGCATCAACCATAATGCTATCGGTAGTAGTCCCGGAGGTGCCAACTGGTGGAATTGGCTTGTTGATAGTTCCAGATCCATACCGAAAAGCACCATCAGGTGTCTCAACAAAAATTGGAGCCCCGGTGGGTCTGCCGGTGGGAGAGGTAGTTGGTGTACCAGTTGGGCTTTGGGAAGGTGCTTGACTTGGTTTCGGACTTTTAGTTGGTGTACCAGTTGGGCTTTGGGAAGGTGCTTGACTTGGTTTTGGACTTTTAGTTGGGGCAGCACTTGGGCTTTGGGAAGGTGCTTGACTTGGTTTTGCACTTTCAGTAGGGGCAGCAGTTGGGTTTTGGGAAGGTGATCCAGTTGGAAATAAGGTGCCTCCAGGACAAGCCGTGAGGATCACTGACCATGAAGTGAGAGTTCCAGTATCACTACCAGCATCATCATTGATTTGTAGTATCCAGTGGCCCATTGAATTCTGGCCATTGAATGTAGAAAGAGGCTCCTCCGGTTTGACATCTGAGCCATCTACGAGATGGCAGACATCACTAAGTTGGTCAGTGCCATCAATAATGTTGTTGCTTGAGTCATCAAATACAACATGGAGGTCATCACTGCGACCACAATCATCATGAGTCAGTGCCACCGTAGTATCCATACCTCCACCAGCATCCAGGGTGATGTCAATGTCCAAGTCAGCAGTCCAAGTGTGTGTAATGTCCACTTCAATGTCAACATCACAGACAACAAAGTCCATGTCAACCGCAATGATGGAGACGGTAGGGCCTTGGCTTTCATTGGAATTCTGCGGAATGCGCAAGTTGCTGTTGGCAGCATCCGAAGTGAACGTGAAGGTCTCAGGGGGAGGCACAGGGGTGGCGCCAGCAAGGCCAATGCCAATGAACAAGGTGAAGAGTTTCAAGAACATGATGGGAGCGAACGAAAATGTATGCGGTGGGAACCTGGTAAAATACAAAGACATGACGGAAGAAGATGATGAGAAAGGAGTTTTTGTTGATTGTATTTAACGCCAACGCCATTGTGGCTCAATTGATGCATCCATCATCGTTGACGCGTTCAAGCAATCTTACCTTAGCTATAGCGAGTTGCTGAGATGGCTGATCAAGTGTTTCGAAGAGCTGTTTTGTGTTGCAGCGAATCGAAATTGTGAACCAAATTGGAGTGCATCTCGAGTGGATGCTCGATCGTGGCGAGACGCCCGAGAGAAACGAAACGTCGTTCCGCGGTTTTCTTTGTTTCCACGCTCTGTGGGATCTTGTCAACTCGAAACGAAGGTAATTCGTGCATCGTTAGCAGTCAAAAGGTATCATTATCCATCATCGATCGGATGCAACCTTTGCTTGAGCGGGTTTCCTCGATCGGTTTTATTTCCACGATCCTGTTCAGTTTGTCACAGTAGCCGGCGCTACCGTGTCTTCCAGAGGTTCGCTGCCAATCTGTCCACTATAGAAGTTTGGCAAAGGAAAGAAGAAACAATGCACGAGAAGCAAGCGCTTCGTCTGTTGAAATTTTGGAGCGTTCTTGTTCGTTTGTTAAAAATGACCCCAAAGGGCTTTTTGCGTCCAAACAAATCTCTCGACGAGCCCCTTTGAGGTACGGACATGTACCGGTACCAGTGCTGGTCCGGACTAAACATGGAATGAATCGAATCTGAGTCAAATCCCTTTGGAACCATAGCCAACAATCGACCACTTGAACAGCCGCGCTCTTGAGTTTCGAGGGTTTGATTGCATGATCAATCTGCTGTCTCAATTGTTCAGGCATGTTCGTCCACCCGTAATGTCGCTCGAGAGCGTGGTAACGGTTCGAGCCATCGAATAATGATTCGAATGATCTTTGATAAATCTATTGAAGTTTCGATCCCACGTCATACGGGTACGCCGCACATGTGGTGGCACTGACGGATGCACTTTCGCTCACATTTTCTCATCAGATCCCAACACCACCTCGAAACACTTCGGGTTCCTTGCAGTGTCTTGTTGCTTCCAGTGTTATCGTCTTGGTGTCCACTCATTTCCCTGGATACGACTGTACCAGCACGGATTAATTGCGTTCTCATCGGCTGTGCAGGGATCCCAGGTTCAGCCACAAAATAAAACAAAAGAAAAAAGGATTCCATTTTCCCCCTTGACCGTTCCAGTTTTCTACCGTACTATTAATAGCTAAAAGAATGGCTCCGCAACCGCCTCAAGACGAAGAGCAACAGCCTCTGCTTACCAGTGGCAGCCATGACTCTGCTACTCTCAAGTCCTACGACACTGCCGTATCCACCTCCTCATCTTCAGGAGACCATGGCAATGATGATGACGCTGTATGGGAACCCCTCGCAGCATCCTCCTCGTTGGAACTGCCAGAACACGAGCAACACTCTTCCGGCCCCAAGACTACTGGTGGCGGCTACAGTAGTATGATTACCAAGGGACACGTCCTTCTCTTGATTGTGGCCATTCTCTATGGAAGTCTAAATGTCGCGCTGCGTGGCGTCTACGCTCAACCAGATCCTCCCAAGGCCAGTGCTCTTAGTACCATTCGTGGTTGGATGGCCGTCCTCTGCTTTGCACCCTTTCTCCTTCATCAGCGTCATCAACCACAACAACCACAACAACCCACTTCTACTGCTACTAGCAATTCCAACAACAACAATGGCCTCTGGAAAGTGGCCTTGGAATTGGCCATTTGGAATTTTGGGGCACAGGCACTGGTCAATGTCGGATTGTTGTACATTCCATCGGCGCGAGCGGCCTTTTTCACACAACTCAGCGTCGTCATGACACCGGGATTGTCCGCTTTGGCGGGTCATAAACTCCATCGCAACGTGGGCATGGCATGCGTCTTTGCTTTGATTGGCTTGGTTTTGCTCTGCAAACAACACAACAGTGACAGCGACAATGATAGTCCAGGATCCTTCACATTGGGCTTTGGGGATATTCTGACACTGTGCGGGGCGCTCAGTTGGTCCACCTACATTTATCGACTCTCCGCCGTTGGAGGGCACTACAATGACGTCCATTTGCAGGCATTGAAAAATATCATGTTGGCCAGTCTCTACACCATCTGGTGTCTCGTCGAGTTTTTTTGGACTGGAGGAGAAAATCCGTGGATGGGATGGTCCTCCAGCATCCTGGCATGGGTGTTTTTATTCTACAGTGCCTTGGGGCCGGGATGTGTTGCCGATGTCTTGCAACAGCAGGGACAAGCTACCGTGACGGCCACTGTTTCCAATATCATTCTCTCTTTGGAACCAGTCTTTACCGCCATTTTTGCACGACTCTTGTTGGGAGAGTACACCTCGGGAATGGAAAAACTGGGAGGATGCATGATTCTCTTGGCGGCCATTGTTGCCACGTTGGGACAAGAAGAGTGAACGAACAAATGAATTGGAAAACAAGTTATAATCTGGCCAAAACACGGTCGGACCGTGTTTTTTACTTTCGTAGCAATGTTTGCAAATTGAGGCTCGGACCGCAACACAAAGGAGCTGGAAAGCAATTGGAAGTTGCCATCGCAGCATGATATGGTACGCCCCAAGGTGTTCAAAGGCGTGGATCGAAATCGGACCAAGGGAGGATGCCCAACACGAGATACGGTAGGGACATTCTCTCCCTTGCGGTACTGTAGAAGACGCACGTCATGATATATTTCATAAAAGGTCCCTTAGAATAATGAACCTTTTCCGTTCAGAAAGAGTGAAGGGGTGATCTTTACTTGTCTAGCTAGTACTGGTAGTTAGTTTGCACTGTCCCGTCATCGCAGATGATGTATTAGTACCAGTATGCTTTAAACAGGTCGGCACAAGTACTTCCAGAATCGATTCTAAAAAACTTGGGAAATTGGATTTATTCGCGTCGTCATTTCGTGAGTCCCACTTGACGACAATTTGAAAAATCTATTCGCGTCGTCATTTCGTGAGTCCCACTTGACGACTTTTTTCAGAATCTATTCGCGTCGTCATTTCGTGAGTCCCATTTGACGACTTTTTTCAGAATCTATTCGCGCCGTCATTTCGTGAGTCCCACTTGACGACTTTTTGCAGAATCTATTCGCGTCGCCATTTAGTAAGTCCCACTTGGCGACTTTTTGTTAAATCTAGTCGCGTCGTCATTTTCCAATTTTTGACGTCACTATTTACAGTACGGTACTGGTACTGGTACTGGTACTGTAAGCGGACAGCTTCTCGACAAGGCATCCAGCACCATAGCAAAGCTCCTCGTACAACATCGGAAGAATGACTAATCGGGGGCATCGAACGGAAGCTGCCAGTAGAATGGCTGCACCTGTATAGCTAGTGGTCCCTCAAGTCTATGCTACGGCGACACAGAGTGGTTGGACCTCGATTATCTTTCTTCTTTCGGCAACAGCGGACAAATCCTCAATGGCAATTTCTAACTCACAGTTCCACTGGCTTGAAGGAATGAATCGGCTCTTTTGATTGCATGACGTGCTTCGCAGGAAGATCCCACGGAACGTGAATGCTTCTTCTTAGCTTGCGGGAACGCTGCTGGAACTTGCGAATTGGTTGCTTCGGTTGCGAAAAGCTGGCTGTCGCTCTACCAGGTACCAGGTACGATAGCTAGGAAGCAAAAGACCACGCGAACAAATTTCTTAGCCACCAGAGAAATTGGAATAGAAGGAAGTTTCTGCACCCAATTGATTCCTGTTGTACAAAGTGTTGGCTACCGTAACTTGATGGGTTTCGGTTGCCGATCAAAGAAACGACTTCCATGTTGCTGCGAAGGGGAAGTCCTTGGCTGCACGTTTCACCGGAATCGAGACTCCTGTAATGCAAGTTAGACAAGGTGGGATACTAGATCGTTTATAAGAAACTAGTAAACCAACTCAGTGTCACTGAAAGGGCATTAAATTTTCACCTCTTGACCATACTTGGTTTGTGAGGCTTATGAGAGCATCATACATGTTCCATGAGAAGCAGTTGGATCCAGTGACGGAAGGGCACCAAAATTCCAAGGTCCCATATTCGAGTACGGCTAATACGTAGAAAGAATATAATGCAAAGCCTGATTGTACCGGTACAGCTGAGGCCCTCTTTGCGGTATGGGGTGCTCCAAACCAGAAAGTGCTGGTTTGAGGTAAAAATGTGATGGCTTGGGAGTGGTTTGGGCCGGCTGTTCCAGAGCTGTTCCAGTGAGATTTTCAGTCCCACTGCAGACTAACTAGCAAGGATTCCATTTAGTAGTGTGAAGGCAGATGTTAAGTACTAGTAATCAACCTTTTCTTGGAAAGGAGTACTACAACCCAGGCACTTATGATTTAATGGCAGATGAATCATTTGAGCTGGTGAACTTGCTGGGGGGGTTCGAGCTCGCTCTGCATCTCTGCATGCGCTGCTTCTGCTTGATACGATCCTTGCAACTTGCTCACACGATCGACACTGGAAGAGCTCACACCATTGCATCAACACTCATAAACTCTCTCCCCCCATCTCGCGAAGCAACCGATCACGTACAGTAAGCCATAAAAAGAGCCAGCTGCTATCCGCCACAAAACGGACACACCAAGAGAAACCAAAGCAACAATGCCAACGCAAAGAAAATCTGTCACCAGCCCAGAAATGAACGAGCGCATGAAGTCTTTGATGCTACAACCAGCCAATCGGTTGTGCGCAGATTGTCCATCTCCAAGACCGTTATGGGCATCGTTCCTCTACTCCCCCGTCGACAAGGAAGAGAGTGTGATGGCCGTCTTTGTATGCTCTCAATGCGCCCAACATCACCACTTCAAACTTGGATCAAAAAGATGCCTGATCAAATATCTCAAGATGGCACACGAGTGTAAGTAGAATATTGTACGAAACTGGTGCTTGGGACCATGCAAAACGTCGATCCCTCAACTTCTTTTTCTGCTTGATCAAATAGGGAGTATGAAGGACATCGAGATCCTAGAGTTCACGGGAAATGACTTTGTGAACCGCATTTATGAACGGAATCTAACAAAGCGAGACTTTGAGAAGAGCTACGTTGATCCGGATGATGAAGCAGAAGAGAAGCGCCGTTCCAAGTTTATCAAGCACAAGTACAAGCACCGCAAGTACACAGATGATATGGAATATCACGAGAAGATGCTACAAGTACTTGTGAAGAGGAGGTCTCTTAGGAAAAAAGACTCGTCAGCACAGGAAACAAAGAACCAAGCAGACGACTGGTTCAAAGCTGATGACTCCATCCAGTTGGATGCGGAGCAAGAACGAAGAACTAGGTTTCTACTGCCTTCGCACTCGGAACGGGACAGTGCTGGCTATACCGGTAGCACGCGTGCTACCTCCAAAGGAGCCCTTCACCACTCCTACACTGAAGGTGTTGGAGCTGGTCAGAGCTCAGCGTCTCCCACCAAGGAGTATGAGAAGACTCTTCACCTATCTGATTCAACCTTCGTCGTTCTTCGTCAGCGTCCTCAGCAGGAAGAACGCAGCAGACCTCTGGGTAGACGGCAGACCATGTCCAGAAGAAACTCCTTCAGGAACCTCAATGCAATCGCACTGAACGCGGCTGTGGCAAACAGCCGCAGCAACACTGATGCCACAAAGATGGATGATTCAACACAATCATCTACCGAAAGCGGAAGCCGCGCTCTTCAAAGGGCTCGTCGTCGTCTTTCCAACCGTAGCCTCAGTCTAACGCTGAATGGTTCTGGTTCATCTGTGAACCACAACCACCACAACTCTGGTGAATCATCTGTGACCTCCTCTTCGCAAGGTAGCTCCGTAGATGAATCGAGGCGCATGCGCCGCCGGATATCTACCAGGAACCTCATGTCTGTGGCAGAATCGCCCGCCCCACAGAAGGTCGAGGCCAGAAGGCGAGGATCCATTTCCAGGCCACTCAATTCCGATACGCTAGAAGCGCCCGGCGTCGCCAAGAAGGCACCAATGATCCGCCGCGGTTCCATCAGAACCATCCGACCGCTGGAAGAACAGGAATCTTGTGCCAGGGGCAGCTTCAATCGGCTACAACCACAGGGGCCCATGGCCAGGCGGCGATCACTTTCAACTTCCAATGTTATTGATATGGCGCCAGCATCGGTGGAGAAAGCTCCTTTACGGCGTCACAATTCCTGCAGGAACTTGAACCTTCTGGCCGTGGAAGTGTCATATCAACCCAACCAAACCAGGACACCCATGACCAGACGTCGCTCAATGGCAGCTCTGAATGCACCTTCTACCCTGTCCCCTCCAAAGCCATTGCGAAGGCGCAAGTCCGCAGCTCTCATTGCGGTAGGACTACCTGGAACGACAGAGACTACTTCGCCCGTTAACCCCACGTCGCGCCAATCGCTCGCAGGAGCTGCCGTTGCCCTGAACAATGTTGAAAGTAGCCCTGCTTGCACTTGGCCGAGCTCTGTCCAATCGGAAAAAGTCCCCAAAAAGTCAAAGAGGTCGAAAGCCACGGGTGAACAAGCTAGCAGACGAGCATCCGACACTAAGAATTCTCGTAGGGAGACAAGTGTCAGCGGCGGCAGCACGGCAGCAAGTAGTGAGACCAGGAGAAAGTCCAAGCGCAATTCCAAATCTAGTGGCGACGGCAAGAAGAAAACGACGAATCGGATCCCCACAGCTGTTGAACTTGGCTATGAAGATCCTGAAGCTATCGAGCAAAAGCTTCAAACACGAAAGGAAAAGATCCGTGGAGTGCAGACTGGCACGACAAGCTTGAGATCATTGTTGTCAGACAGTATCAAAGAAACGGCCAACCCGGAGCGAGGGAGTTTAAGCAGAACCTCTTCTATCGGAAGTGCCAAGGCAGCGTAAATAATGCCAAGGAGAAAGAATAGATAAATTGCAGCACATCCTATTGCTAGCTCTAGAATACTTCGCCAACAATGTGTTCCCCCTTCCCTGTTGCTGAACATGTCTCCTGCGCTACAGTATCAAGCCTTTTTCTCGTGGCTGTTTCCATGAATGTCAGGAGCACTCACTGGAGGAGCTCTTTGAACGATGCCTGAACTCATGGTACGGTAGCTCACTCATGATACATTCGCCTTTCGTTTCGCTCGCACCTCGTGCCTTCTCGTGTTCAACCAGCAGTTCTCCTTTTCTGAGGCAGTTCATACCTTGAGAGGCGTCACTTGTTGTTCAAACTGGAAAATCAAGAGCATCTAGGTATTGGGTTTGAGTAGCATCCTTCAGGAAATGTCTTCATCCTCCTTTATACGAAGAAACACATTTGAGTCATCAGCGAAGGGCTCGAACCGTGTAGACTTCAAGCCGTACATGCACCCCTGAAGCATTGGACATTGCCTGTTCCGTGTGCTAGCAGCTACTTCCGTGGTGCATCCAAAGCCTGCCTAAAGAAGTAGGACGACGCAAAACTCAGAGCTGGATTGGATACAGCAGCACTTGACGTACTACCGCCACACCCGGCACCACCGGCAAGTCAACGATCATGAGGCGGTTCCATACGAGGCAAACATGCAGCCTAGCACTAGACGAAACCAACCATGGCTGGCTTTAACCGGTGGAGCAGTCCCAATCTATCCGTATAGTCTGGCTATCTACAGGGAACTACAGGGAATTTCTCGATTCTCCATACGGTTTTGGGGACAACCTTTGATTGACAATTGGCTGTGCTGGAGTTGCGACTACTCCGAGTATATGACCCTGAGAATCTGAGAATTGAAAGATTGTCCGTGCTCTGGTCGTTGCTGTGCAAACATAGGAGCAAAGAGCAAATGCTCTGAATTGGACTTAAGCACTGTCCTCAAATGAGAGAATCCCATAAATAATGTCAGTATGACTGGAATTCATTTCTGTCAACACGGAGTAGTGCACTTTTTTACTATGATCGAAGAGTAGTCCTTCACAAAAGATGAATTAAGCGTTTGCCAGCGAGAATGTTCATGGCTTCGTTTCAGTCGCAAGAAGCTGTCTAAAGACTGTCTGTTGAGTTGGGGGTCGCCCAGAGTGTACTCAGTACCGGCCATCAACTTGTTCGTCTGTGCAGCTTGGGGATTGGCACGCATCCAAAATGTTGCTCAGTGGTTGGGCTTGGACTTCCTTGGTGTTACCGGCAAAAGGAGGATTGCCTACCCAGGATTGCATGGGAAAGGTCTCTGATCAGCCCTCCCATAAAAACTCTCTTTCAGCGAATTTGCCACACCATCACACCATGCTACCATCAAGCTCTTCTTTATCTCCCGAGATGCAAAGCCGCATGGAATCCATCTTGCTGAGCCGAGCCAACCAAACTTGCGCTGATTGCCCCGCCTCGAATCCTGAATGGGTATCCTTCATCCACGAACGCAGCAGGCGAACGTTGGGTGTGCTTTGCTGCTCGCAATGTGCACAGCATCACCATTTTGAACTTGGGGATAAGCGATGCCATATCAAGTACCTCAAGATGACTCACGAATGGGCTATCGTTGATATTCAGACTCTCGAGAACACGGGCAACGCATTTGTGAACGCTACCTACGAAGCCAACTTGACAAGCTTTGACAAGACTTTTGTACATCCTAGCGAAGAGGTGGAATGCACGCGACGTGCCAAATTCATCAAGAACAAGTACAAGAAACGCAAGTTTCGAAAAGCCGAAAGTTTTGACAGTGCTACGCAACGAATGGCCCATGCTCATAGTCCTATTCGAAGACGAGCCACGGCTCCTGGCAGGGAAGTTGCTGAGATGCTCTCACTCTCGGAGGTTGAGGAAGACACATCCCTAAAGAGAACCAACACAAGCGGACACTTGAGCCTCCGTGCCGCTGTCAATGGCAAACGCCTGGCAGTGGTCCATTCACCCAAACGAGACATGAGGAATCGACGTCTGAGCAAGATCACTGCCAGTGGAATGATCATGATTGCGCTGCCTTCAGACACAAGAGGAAGACAGAGCTACAACCAAGCAGCGTAATAGTGCTTTCTGCTTGGGACTGCATAGATGCACATAGACTACTAGACATACATATACTTAGTACATGATTCATCGCCAACATAATCTCTAACATCCCAACACTAGCCCCCTTTGTAAAGCTACCATCGCTGCAATGGTCTCATTGCTTTCCAGCAACCGGTTCTACGCATAGATCACAACCGCCCAGGCGGAACCATTCAAGCAGCCAGCATCCAAGACGCCGCACCTCTTATCAGTTCTGGTGGTGCCGGTGCGGGCGTACGGTACCGATACGGACGGGCCAAAACTAGATTCTTGACTGGTTGAATACAGCGTCAGGAGCTTGAACTTGAGGCTCCTTTGATTCGCAGTCAACTACCGGTAGCTACTAGTGTAGTAAGCAGTCGAGTCCAATAAGGGGCATATGCATGCTGCCAACAACGCAAGCGTCCAGAACCCAGAGCAACAACCTTTCTGACGTGTGGGCAATCAAGTGATCGCGGTTCAAACGCAGTGTTCAACCTTTGGCAGTGATTTCCCCGCGTTACATAATGCTGCACGCGGCGTGTGGGCCTGGCGGGATGTTTCTTTTGATGCATTTTGCGAGGCAACATTATTGTCTGAGTTGATCCATAAGCCCAAGCATGCAGTGACGACAGCAGCAGTGCAATATGCGAACCCATCGTCCAGTCGTTACCTCCATGCATGAGGCAATTGCCAAGAAAGCCCATGCATCTGCTAACCGTGAAGGAAAGCGCAAGCCACGGCCAAGCCATTTGGGAAGGAAACAGCGAGTTAGCAGGATACCAGGTCCCGCTGCCTGCCTACCGGTACTATCAAGCAATCTTGTTTGAGAGTACCGGCCAGATATAGTACTGGTAAGAGCGAAGTCATCCAGTTTGTAGATTCGGTACACACATCATGATTGGTAGAACGCATGGAGCAGTAGCTACAAGCAAGCAAGCAAGCAAGCGGATGCTACCGAAGGAACCATCGAGTTCCAGATACAAATACAATAGTGTAAGGTTGGTTCCTCGGCGAGGTCAAAGAAACTATCAAATGAATACGGTACTGAGGCATGGGTTTAGCAGACGGAGTGTAGACAAACGCCACTACCTGGCTCATCGCCCATCCCCATTAAAAGACAAACAAGGGGCCTCTTCTTCAGTGCGCTCGTAAAGAAAATCAGAGTAGGAGAGTGCAGTGGCACGATCTGTCAGCAGCCCATAGCAAATTCAGTGGCTTTGGGCTTCACGTATGCATACATCAAGCATGTGCGGCCCTCCATACCACGCCACAGTATTGATACTGTGTCGTTCAAAATCTAAATCTTGGATCTAGATCTACAGTGTGACCGCGTTTTCGCTTGTACTAGTACTCTAGCTCTAGAGTACAGCACCGTAGCTGCTTTTCCCAAGCGGCTGGTTGGGTACCGGTATGTACTATTAATAATAGTACCTGGTGGTACTGTTTCGTACCAGTTCATCCCTCTTTCGCATAAATCTTTTAGGAACGCAAATGTTTACTTAACGAAAGCGGCCACGCCAGAAGAATGAGAAGCAGATTCTGCGTCGCTACGTCACTCTATGCTCATGTTCGAGGAGCTATTCAAGTTTGGTGAATTATCGACAGGACCCAGTCTCTGCTAGTTGTGACCGATGGAGAAGTGAAAAGGTCATTACTTGTAGCAGGTTGTTAAATCGCGAAATCACACTGGAAAAGGGTAAGAATCCTAACAATCCCAGTGAAGACACTTTCGGATTGCCCTTCAAAAAAATGCGAATACCGAGCATGGTCTAAGTGAAACCGTTCCGGTAGACTAACTTGCCTGTGCTACTACACCCTCCTCACAACACTTGGTGGTTTCAAAATTCTGAGAGTCGAGTCTGAGAGTCCAAGACCCCGAGAACCGAACTGTTACCAGTCTAATCCTCCTCCTCACAATGCCAAATACAGGGAAACTAGAAACGCAATTGTCTGGTGCAACTATCACAATGTCATCTTCATCCAAGCCTACCAACGTATCTGCAGAGATGGGGAGACGGATGAATTCCATTCTGATGTGTCCAGCCAACATGGTCTGTGCAGATTGCCCTTCGTTGCGTCCCCAGTGGGTGTCTTTCCTTTATGCCCGTGTCCAAGTGGACAAGACTCTGGCAGTGCTGTGCTGTGATAGCTGCGTCCAGCATCACTACTTTGAGCTTGGCAAAAAGAGGTGCATGATCAAATCCCTCAAGATGGTTCATGAATGTAAGTTGCTTAGTGATGGACGGGTGTTCAGGTCGGTCCTGCTTTAGCTTTCAGCTTTCTAATGTTTGCCTTGGCACTCTCTGCGACATAGGGACCATGGAAGACGTTCAGACTCTAGAGTACAGTGGCAACGCCTTTGTCAACAATATCTTTGAAGGAAACCTTACCTACGAGGACTACATCAAAACTGAAGTTCTGAAGGATGAGGATGAAGAGTTTGACCAGAGAGGACGTTTTATCAAGAACAAGTACAAACGCCGAAAGTGGCAAGATGACGTGGAGTATCACAAGATGATGCTTGAGCTTTTGCTGAAGAAGCGGGGTCACCAGTGTGATCACGAGAACCCCACTACGCAAAGCTCCGACGAACGTCATGAAGGAGATGAAGAGTACGAAACCAAAACGGTCAGCCGTCGTGTCAATCCGCGCTCAAAGAAGAGCCTGCGAGATCGCATTGGCGGAATGCGAAAGGCCAAAAGTGCGGACATCGCTCCCAGTCGTAAGAGCAAGCGGAACCCTCCGAGGCGCTCTAGTTGCGACAGCACCTCCACGGCTAGCTCCACGGCTAGCGAGAGCAGTGGTGGAAGCAGGTCCAGAAGAAGTAGTCGTGAGAGCAGAGACAGGAGACAACCGTCTCGACGTGAGATGAGTCGACGTGACGAGCGGTCCTCACGGCGAACCGGACTCAGCCGATGCGCTTCCGATCCGACTGCCATTCAAGAATCGCGTCTAGAGGCCAGCTGGAGCAATCTGAGTCGAGGAGGAGGAAGACAACTCGGTCGTTCGAGCTCCCATGGCAAGCTGCAAAACTCGTTGAGTGTGATCGAGGCACCCAAGTCCGCAATGAGGGAACGCAGACTCAATGCGTTTGCCAAAATGTTCGTGGTGGCTGTCCCGGCGAGCGACGATGGCAGGCGCCAGCGCTACAACCAAGCGGCGTAAGTCATTCTGAGAGAGACATCCGCCAAGAAATGTACCCGGTATGATCTTGAGCTTTACAGTAAAGCTCTGCTAGCTATACCTGATATAACCGAGTGATTTCCCATACAGAACGTGTATAGATGTGTAGGAATCTGTCATACAGTCCCAGTCCATCTTTTCAAATTGAGCTGATGTCACCTTAAGACAAGCGAAACGCCGTTTCGTTTCCTTCTCTTCGGGCCAACATATCTCGCGTTCCCTGAACCACGTAGTGATTGTCTCCCTCCATCGTTGATTGCAGGTAGAACTCACTCAAGCGTCTTTTTTGCCGTGGTATTCTACCTTGGACCGGCTTTATGGGCCCCGAATCCTCGTCCTCTAGTCTACAACCCAGCCGCAGCTTATTCCAAGTTGATTGTGGCATCATCGGTTTCAGTAGACTCCAGTAAAGAGGAGACTTACTCCCTGTGTTGTAGCACATGATCTGCTTGACTTTGTAGGGGAAACAGACGCCCAATTCATGATAGAGGCGCGTTTCACACTCCACCGAAAGGCGGGCACTTGACCCATCGCACTCGCAGATGAGGAAGACTCCCTCCCGCACCGAGTCGAAGCAGGAATGAAGGGCCCGGAGCATGTAATAGGCCGTGACGACGTGGACTTCCCAATTCCACGGTCCTCGAGCTACGTCCCGAGTTGACGGGGTGAGTGGCAATGAGCTGCAAAAGGCAGCAGCATCCCAGATGACAACGCCCTCTTGTGTGATGGGACATGACTCCAGCTTCAGCAAGGCACCGGGTTGCATCCGGACAAACTCTTGCATATACCTGCTCCCCTGCTCCACACTATCATCAATGCCATAGGTCCTCCGAAATGTTTCCATGCCTTTGATCCGTTCCAAAGCTTGGGTCTCGTCTCCTCGACCAATGAGAGCATGACAAGCCACGTCAAAGTCACTAACGAGTGCACTATCAATATCTTCGGATAGGCGAACTGCTTCCTTGACCCCCAGAGCCCATTGTCGCTCTCTGGCCGTCAAATCCATTTATGTACTCACACGTAGAATGATGAAATACCTTCACTCAGAGCAGCACAGGCGTCCAACTTGAAGCACATTTCCAAGCTCGCTCATGTGCGTGCCACTCCTTTGCTGGAACTACGGTGTCTTGCATGACCATCCCTCAACAAGATGGTTGTGCGTCGGGGTGGTCTCTTCGCACTCCGCACTCAGCAGTTGGTGCGTCCTGGCGATCCGCTGGCAGAGCACCCCACACCCCAGTAATGTGAAAAAAGGTTTTAATCGCAAATTGGAGCTAGTATTTGGAAAATGGGGTACTAAAGATCCACATTGATCAAAGATTGAAGCGTGAACGGCGTTAGAACTCGAGGCGCTTATTTCCAAGCCTGGATTTCTACAGTAACTTTAGAAGTGAAGAACCACAGTCTGCCGGCTTTACTATCAAACCATGGACGAGGACTTGAAGCATCACCGTGGGAGACTTGGATACCGCGGTCAAAAAAGCAAGCTTGGAAGAGCCTGCTGGATAGCATGTACCGTACAGTTTGGAGCGGGGGTTTGAACGGGAAGCAACAGTCAAATCCCTTTGCGAGCTCCGTGGTGGGGGGTTGAGACCCGATCAAGACAACACTTCACGGCATGGTGGCTTTCCAGGCTGTCAAGTGCGTATAAACGGATCTCAGCGCAACACCAGCATAGAGAACGCAAAAGCCATTGCACTAGTACTATTCAACTTTGAAGAGTGGCAAGAACTTTCTCCCCTGAGTGAGATCTACCGAGAGCCCCACAATCAGTGGTATCACGCACAGCAGCAACGGAGCATGTCACGGCGGCGTCACGGTCTTCTGAATTGGCCGCCATGGTCAATCACAGCCAGTTCGCTTAATCATGTCTTCACCAAATGCAACGCAAGCATCATTAGTGGTGGTTTCTCTTTAGTATACGGTGCTGGATTTCATGGGCTTCCTCATCTATGGCTTCTGCAACACTTAGGGAGAATCTCCTGTTTCCTTGCGCGGCTGTGGGACCAGGCTTGGTGCTTCTGCCTCTTCATGTCGCCCCCTCCAGAACTATTGGTGCTGCTGACAATCAGCCATGGTGCTACCATCTGCTGACGGGAGGACCACAGAGTGTGCACCAGGGAGAACCTCCTGATTTCTCTTGCGGCCTGCTAGCTAGACCGGGCTTGTGGCTGCTCTTCATGTCGCCCCTTGCAGAACTACTATTGTTGCCCAATGCTGATAGATCAGACGATGCTAGATGGTTATGCTGTTACGGAATGTCTGTTACGTAGTGCTTGCGCAGCATCTGGCACCAGTTGCACTGCTGCTAAGCCTCTTATTTTGTTGCCATCACTTCTTCTTCTTCTTTTTCCCCTCGCCCACCTCAACTCCTGCAGGATAATTTGATGCCTTGTAGGTGCGGTCAATAAATGGCTCTTCCACAAAATGAACAAACAGAAGAATGCAGGCTTGGATACAACAGTAGGCAATGCACCCTGGAACAGAGCGATAATAGATGGCCGCTCCTAGTATCTGCACATATCCAGCAGTATAGGTTGGATGATGAATATACTTGTAGAGTGATGATTCCACAAAATGAGAGTTGGGTGTATCCAGCAACATATCACGCAAAAAGTAACTGTTGTAGCCCGTTAAAGTGCAGGCCCATCCTTTGAAGAACCAGCCAGTCTGGCACAAAATGAATCCAACCAGGTTCGACGCCACATCTGGGATTGCCTCTGGAAAAGGAATGGTCCCCACGGATTGACAGAAGGCACGGAACCCACAGCCAATGAAAGCCCACATGACAGAAAAGAAAACCTCAGAGATCATGATGAATTTGGCCCTGCCAACTTTCTCACGAAGAGGCACTTTCACCACAACCATCCACAAGGATAGTCCAACGTAGTAGAAGAGCCATCCTGCCATGAAGAACATGGTCCCAGGGAGCCAATCAGTTCCGAGTACTGTCTTCCAATCAATCAAATTGTTCAAAACAATTTCAGCAGCAAGGATCGTGCCAACCCATGTGAAGTAGTAGAGACCGTGGTGCTTGAGATACCCTGGAATGAATGGATAATCGATGCGGATTCCTAGATACACAGGGAACATTGCCTTGATGGCCATGGCGACAAAGTCCACTGCAGCCCGGAAGGAAAACTTCTCATGCCTCTTGAAGCACTGAATCGGCTCTGAGATGTCTACTGTTGGCACATTTGCAGCTGTCTCATAGTAGTTGTTGGAAGTACTGTTAGTTGATGGCATCTTTTTGTGAACTGCCAGTGTTTTGGTTGAGATGAAGGAAAAGTTGTGAGAATGTGGGGAGGAGGTTGTGAGCTTCTCGAAACTGTTGGAAGCAGTTTTCTTGGTGTTTGCTTTCTGCAGTAACTTGCTTTTGGCCACTCGACCATAAGTAACACAGTTTTTGACGGGTAGATTAGGTAAGGTTAGGGTTAAAGGTTTTATTTACCATACATTTTGTATACAAAAAATTGATGTACCGCAACTACCTGACTGTCAAAGTGGTCGTTACCGGTATGAGCTGCACCTTTCTTTATTAAAAAATGACATCGTGGTTGTGCAGAATCGAATCGAATGATCAACTACAGTGTACTCAGTTATGCTTGGATACTTTACCAATTCTATACACTAGCTACTCTAGAGAGCTATTAATAGACCCCCCTTAGAAATAAAATTATACAAGACCTAATCAGTATGCTTGCACCGATGGGCTCTTCAAAGATATAATGTTAGATTTATACTTTATTTCAATTTGGTCTTGCTTCGTTCCAAAGGGCCTGTATGGTATGTTCCGGCGGTCTTGAGAGAGCATTAACAAAATTGTTCAGGCTCAGGGGACCGACTTCAGTCCCTGATGTGGCATCATGTTCGAATGTCATTCCAAGCCAAAAATGTCGGCACAATGACCTGACGCCAGCCCAATTTGTGGAGCGATCTTTCACTCCAAGATCTGAAGATCTCAGTTCGCTTGCAGTTGTCAGGGTCAGTTCCATTGGAAGATCACAAAAAAGTTTTACTCAGCTTCCTTAGTTAGAATATCATCAATTCACCATGAGCGACGAGGAGGAACACTACGAAGGCGAAGAAGAGGAGGAAGAAGCTCCACCGGAAGAAGAAGAGGTAGTGGAAGAAGAAGAGGAGGTCGTGGAAGAAGTTGAGCACGTCGAGGAGGAGGAAGCAGTGGAAGAAGTCGTGGAGGTTGAGGCGGAACCTGAAGCACCCGCTGAGGAGGTTGTGGAAGAGCCAGAACCCGAGCCAGAACCAGTGGCAGAAGATAAATTTGTAGTGGGCAGTGAAGGAAATACCGAAGAAGAAAAACGAGTGGAATACCAGGCCGCTCTTACGCAAGTGCTGCTGCTGGAACTGCAGAGTCCCGACGATCCCACGGTCGAGTTAGCGGCGCGCAAACTCGATAACTTTTTTGAAACACCCGAGCATGCCGCTCATACGGATTGCTTTTGCGCCTTGGGAGGTCACGGTCTCCTGCTCATGTTGTTGCAAAAGTGGAAAGACAGTGCCAGTATTCAGGAACTCCTGTTCAGTTGTCTGGCTCATCTCTGTCAATGGGCGCGTTCCAACGATGTCAATGTCTTGTCGACCATTCTTATCATGCGCGGAATGGATCTGATTGCCGATTCCATGGCACGATTTCCCGAATCCAGCAAGCTCTATGTCGACTGTCTCGTCACTATTACCTGTCTCTGTCGCAAGGAAGACTTGGAACGACACACCACCACCAAGAAATCCATTACGGGTGCCGTGCCATTGGTCTGTACGGCCGTCAAGATTTTCCCCGAGAATCGAGAGGTTCTCTTCAATGGGTGCAAGGCGCTCAAGACATTTTGTGAAATGAAACTCAACGAAATCAAGGACATGAAGGGACAGGCCATCTCGGTGGTGGGTGCCTCGCTTCAAAACTTTCCAGATGATGTCGAGATTAACAAGATTGCATTTTCCTTCTTGAGAAAGCTGGGATCCATGTGCGGATACGAGTCGGAAGAAGAAGAGGAAGAGGAGGAAGAAGTAAAAGAGAAAAAGGCTGCCAAGTCCAAGAGGAAATCCGTCAAAGGGAAGAAGAAGGCCAAGAAAGTAGAGTCAGAATCAGAAGAAGAGGAGAGTAGCGAGGAAGAAGAAGAAGAGGAGGAAGAAGAAGAAGAGGAGGAGGAGGAAGAAGAAGAAGTAGTAGAGGAGGTGGTGAAGCCTGAGCCGCCTAAAGTTAGGCCTGTGCTATCTCCAAAAGCTCCATCCGTCAAGAAAAAGTGGGGCAGCCAGTGGAAACCGTCCCCCCACTAACTAAAGACAAGCAATGGCGAAGGCCAATGCATTTACCCGACGGAGGGCATAGACGACACCAATGGTCGTGACTGACTAGTCACCAGCAGAAGAAGCAGTAGACGAGGAGGAGTGATGAAAAATAAAAGGAAGGCCAATGAAGCCTCGATGGTCAAGCGACCACACGCACTTATCGCAAGTTGGCGGAAGGAGCTCGAGAGAAATACCGTAGTTTATTAGTTGTGAATATGTATGTATAGATGTTGGAAGGCTACCGTACTCATCATGGTGATCAATGCTGTGTTTCAAGTATATTTGTAGTACTTTGGAATTCGAGCTTCGTTATCCACACCCCTTGCTTGCTGCACCGACGTCGACTGATCGCAGCCAGGCATGCCATGTTGTGGCACATACCATGCCTAAACCTCTACATCTGTTAATTCTGGGCTCTCTTCTTCAGCAGATGTTGATTCTGGGCTCTCCGTAGACACTGGGCTCTCTTCATCTGCAGATGGTTCCTTTGCTGCCATGTAGGTCCGTTCAATAAATGGCCCTTCCACAAAATGAACAAACAGAAGAATGCTGGCTTGGTAACCAAAGTAGGCAATGCATCCTGGAACAGAGCGATAAAATAAGGCTACTCCAAGAGTCTGCACATATCCAGCAGTGTAGGTTGGATGATGAATATACTTGTAGAGTGAGGATTCCACAAAATGGGAGTTGGGGGTGTCCAATAGCATATCACGCAAAAAGTAGCTGTTGTAGCCCGTTAAAGTGCATGCCCACCCTTTGAAGAAGAACCCAGTCAGGACCAAAATGACTCCAAAAAGGGTGGATGCTACATCTGGGATTGCCTCTGGAAATGGAATAGTCCCTACTGATTGACAAAAGGCACGGAACCCACAGCCAAGGAGAAACCACATGACAGAAAAGAGAATCTCAGAGATCATGATGAAGTTGGCCTTGCCAACTCTATTTCGAAGAGGCGCTTTCACCACAAGCATCCACAAGGAGAGCCCAACATAGTAGAAGAGTGAGGATGCCACGAGGAACATGGTCCCAGGAAGCCAACCAGTTCCAAGTACTGCCTTCCAATCAATCATGTAATTGAAAATGATTTCAGCAGCAAGGATCGTGCCAACCCAAGTGCAGTAGTAGATACCATGGTGCTTGAGATAACCTGGAATGAATGGATAATCGATGCGGATTCCTAGATACACAGGGAACATTGCCTTGATGGCCATTGCAACAAAGTCCACTGCTGCCCGAAAGGAAAACTTCTCATGCCTCTTGAAGCACTGAATCGGCTCTGAGATGTCGACTGTTGGCATGTTTGCAGCCATCTCATAGTAGTTGGTGGAACTATTGTCACTTGATGTCATCTTTTGGGATCTGTTTTGGTTGAGATGAAGATAAAGATGTGAGAAAGAAAAGGTGTGGGGGTGTTGAAAAGCTCTCCTGGTGCGGCTCCGGGAATTGAGTCGAGTCATCGAGTCTCAGCCCGCCCCTTTGCATGCAGGTATTACCTGGTAGTAGCACACGAAAATCAAGTGGGATTGGAATCTAACATTGATCCGGAAGACACCGCAAGACGGGCAGGGCAGTCAGGTAAATATTGTTGATTTTTTAACTTATTTTAAAAACATTATTTACGGCATCTCCCTGATTTTCATTGATCAAGTGCAACCACGATCAAGGGCACAACTGTACAGTACCGGTACCAGGTACGATAAATTGCAAGGCAGCTTCTTGACCTCTTGGCCAATTGCTGTGGGTACCGATCCCGTCAGATCAATAAATCATCATGCCGCATTGTTAAATCTAAGGTTATTGTCTACTAAGCGCACACCATCTCTGTCAAGGAAGGTAAATTTGCCCGAGTTCCCACCCAAGCGGTCTCGCATTGGGCCAATAGGTATAAGTTACGGTACCCTAACCAGTGTTACGGCACGCGAAGGATCTCGAGTAAAGGAGAGCATTGGTACAGTAACTGTTGCATGGGGCTGGTCAACGTCCCCGTGGGCACGCAAAGAGCCAAGTGAATATAGACTAGCTAGGTATGGGAGCAATCTTTGACTAGCTCGTGGCTGATTCAGCCAGGCAGCAAACTTTGATGGGCTGTAGAATATTACACAGCGGGAACCATAGACACTCGCAAAGAAGCTTCAAGATGGCCAGCCAGCTATTAGCTGGTAGCAAGCTATCGCACTGCATCTAAGTAGCTAGTAGAGTACATGTATTTTGCCTGTACAGCGTTACCGGTAGAATGATCCGATCTCAACGTAAAGCTCTTTCTACTGTAGTTTTCACATGTATTCGAAGAGCTAGAGTTCGCGGTTTGCAAAATAAAGACTGAATCGAATTCAATCGAATCGACTTCTTTTTTGGTTACCTATTTACTCGCACCGTTGCTAGCTAGCTGGCTGCACTGAATACCTTGTCTGATCAAAGACAAGAATTCTATGTTGTGGTACGCATGCCTAGACGTCTACATCTGCTGAGTATGGGCTCTCTTCGTTTGCAGATGGATCCTTTGCTTCCACATCGACATCTGTTGATTCTGGGCTCTCCGTAGACACTGGGCTCTCTTCATCTGCAGATGGTTCCTTTGCTGCCATGTAGGTCCGTTCAATAAATGGCCCTTCCACAAAATGAACAAACAGAAGAATGCTGGCTTGGTAACCAACATAGGCAATGCATCCTGGAACAGAGCGATAAAAGATGGCCGCTCCAAGAGTCTGGACATATCCAGCAGTGTAGGTTGGATGATGAATATACTTGTAGAGTGAGGATTCCACAAAATGAGAGTTGGGGGTATCCAATAGCATATCACGCAAAAAGTAGCTGTTGTAGCCGGTTAAAGTGCAGGCCCATCCTTTGAAGAAGAACCCAGTCAGGACCAAAATGACTCCAACAAGGGTGGATGCTACATCTGGGATTGCCGCTGGAAATGGAATGGCCCCCACTGATTGACAAAAGGCACGGAACCCACAGCCAAGGAAAAACCACATGACAGAAAAGAGAACCTCGGAGATCATGATGTAGTTGGCCCTGCCAACTCTATCACGAAGAGGCACTTTCACCACAAGCATCCACAAGGAGAGCCCAACATAGTAGAAGAGTGAGGATGCCGCGAGGAACATGGTCCCAGGAAGCCAACCAGTTCCAAGTACTGCCTTCCAATCAATCATGTAATTGAAAATGATTTCAGCAACAAAGATAGTGCCAACCCAAGTGCAGTAGTAGAGACCATGGTGCTTGAGATAACCTGGAATGAATGGATAATCGATGCGGATTCCTAGATACACAGGGAACATTGCCTTGATGGCCATGGCAACAAAGTCCACTGCAGCCCGGAAGGAGATCTTCTCATGCCTCTTGAAACACTGAAGCGGCTCTGAGATGTCTACTGTTGGCATGTTTGCAGCTGTCTCATAGTAGTTGTTGGAAGTGCTGTTGGTTGATGTCATCTTTTTGGGGGTTCTGTATTGATTGTGATGAAGGAAAAGTTGTGTGGGTGTTGAAAGGCTGTGTTCTAGCTCTGGGAATTGAGTGAGCGTCAACGCCAACAGTAAACTTGTGGGAATGTGTTGCAGATGAACGTTCGTCCACGATCTCACGTGCACGGTCCCTCGTCCCTTTCGCTGTAATCCGACAGAAGCGCTACTGGTAGACTAGTGGGGCAGTTCAGGTAAATAGTGTTTGCAACACTTTGCTACCGGTCTTACGCAAAAAATGCTTAGATAGCGGTCTTGAATGGGTATCTACTAGGTACACTAGTATAATTTTACCCTAACAGTTACGGTACCGTACGTGAAGGATCTTACGGCATCTCCCAGAGCTGATTTCCACAAGCACAGGGCCATCGCAGCTCACGGTCTTGTAAGCGCATCGTCTTCTTGGTCCCAGATTTGGTGTGGAAAGTGGGTCATGTCATTAAAATCGTTCAGTCGCTTTTGCTAAATCTAATAACAAATCTAAATAAGTCTTTTTGTCTTTTTGCAAAAAATGCATAGCGGTCTCGAAATAAATGGAAACTCGCACGACCCAGTGGGCAAGGAGCCAACTGAATACATACATACATACGGTAGACTAAATACATACCGGTACATGTACGTACATGTAAAAAGTTATGAGAGCTGGGTTTGGTGTGCTGGAAGCAAGCTTTGATGGCCGATGGAATATCACACAGTGGACACTCGCTAAGAAGCTTCAAGACGGGCCAGCCACTACAGTACAAATGGGAAGCTATCAGACCACATCTATCTTGTAGTAGAGCACATACATGTAACTTGCCTACACCGGTACCGGTATGAATGATTAGATCTCCACATGATGCAAGCTACTAGTATTTCTACTATGCTTTTTACTACTTGGTTTTGAGCTAGAAATTACGGTTTGCAAACATGAGGAAAGAATCTACCTCTTTTTCTGTTACACCATGGTACTGTGCCTGATACTCTTCGCTGATGTATAAGCCTGCCTGTATTGATAGCTATAGCTACACCCAGACTCTCTTGCCCGTACTGACAATCAATACATTCTCATTGACAATCATCCATTCCGCATTAGATTTCTTCCTGGTAATAAAATGAGCCGGAAATTCACTGATTTGCAGATACTGTGTGTTGGAAAAGGGGCGATCACCCCGCAAACCACTTCGAATGTGATCGGATGGCGGTGGCGTGTCACAGATGATCTGATACGGCAATGGAGGATGGCCCATCATCATTAAATGATTGTTGCGACAGAATTGAATGGGTATCAACTGCGAATTTGTTTCTCCGCGGTGGACACCCGAGATGATGAAACTCAAGTACCATTGCAGGTTTTGGAGATCCTCCAGTGTGAGTTCTGTACAGGTGGCTTGTTGCTCCACCAATTGATAGCGAACCTTCCAGCTTTTCTGGTCATCACTACTTGAAAACCTTCTGTTTAGCTCTTCTTCTCGTTTGGATGTCAACTGAAAGCGAGGCCATGGTGCCCATCGATCCCGACACCGCTGCTTCCAAATGCTGTCGGTCTTGAGGGAAGCTAATTCACTTGAAACACACTGAAACTGTAGAAGGTCTTTTGCGGGAAGAAACTCAGCAACGTTCAACAGCAATTCTTCTGTCAAGCAGGAGAAGGACACTGGAGCGGCCTCGGCAACAACAACACCGTCGTTGTTTCTTTTGGACATGGTCTTCTTTGCATCGCTGCTGATGCTGTGGTGCGCGTTCGAAAATTAAGCCAGCGAGGCAGTCTTTAGCACCGATGACAGCCACCTGGTACAAGTACCGGTACCGGTACGTACCTACCGGCACCACCACAAATTCCGGGATTGTTGCATGGTGATAGCGGAGACGAGAAACGAAATGTGCCGGTGGGTCTCCCACTATACTGGTATATAAAAGCCATGTATGATACTACAGTTATGTTTTCTTGCTGCCGTGCTGCTCTTGAATGCTCAGTGGTGGCGTCAGTGCGTGACTTTGAAGCACAGGAATCGAATCGAATGGAACTCACGCGGACGCAATAGTGGCATTCAGCCCAAACTGCATGTGATTGTCATTCGTAGCCCCCGAAGCACGAACACATATTTTGGCTTCTCCATCTGCCTCCATGGTGTGTTGGAAGGAACCCTTGTGCTTTTTGATCAATTCCGAGGTGGGTTTGAGGACAACAGTTGGGCTCGGCTTCATGGGAATCACTGAGATGGACATATAGGTAGGAGAAACATGGGGATGATTTGTTGTGCCAAGGGCGATATCTAGGAGTCCAACCACAAGAAGCAATTTCAAACGGTTCCGTGAGCAAATAACGGCACAAGGACGGACACGAGCTTTTGATTTCACGTACCAGGAAAATCATAAAAGACTTCCAGGACTGCACCACCCCTCGCCACAGCCTTGATACAACGGGTTTTGGAGCTCCAAGGGCCGTTGGCCTCGTCAGGCAAGGTGAAATTGAACGTTTCGTAGTCTCCTGGGTTTCCCAGGATGCCCAAGTGCACATCATGCTCAATCTTGCGCTTCCGGTTGGCCGCCTCTTCAGTTTTGATAAAGTAAAAAATCGTAGCGGCTTCAAAACCCAAAACCACAAGGATTGTCACAAAGGCGACCCTGGCCGAACCCCAACCCTTCTTGTTCGGCATGTTGTGTGTCTGGGCTGTGGAGGTTGCTTCCTTGTTGCCGTTGCTCCTGCTCCGTCGAACAGCTCCACTTGTGGTGTCGGTTGCAGGGATAGCAACAAAGACGGCTTCCTCTTCGTCTTTGTGTTGGGTGTGTTCCATGGTGGCTTCCGTTGTCACTGTCCTTCTCGACTTCTTCTTTGTGTTGTGCCTGTCTCGATTCGATTCATTGCGTGCTGCTTTCTTCCTGTGGGCTTTGATTGGTCGGGTATCCACGACTGCAGAAGCGACCCGATTTCCACTCTCTTCATAGCCACACGGCGAAGAGAATTGCAGAGGTCTTTGGCTAGCCTTCGTAATACCGTACGTATCATCATCGTCACCAGTCAATATCTTCATGTCCACATCATCATTTGGAATTGGATCAGTGGCTGTAATGCAGGTCCCTGGTGAGTTTCTTGTTACATGTACCTAAGACAGACAAGAAGTGGGTGCTCCATACATCCGAAGACCTTAAAAAGAGAACGATTGACACGCCCAAACCATTTGCTTAGATACCGCTAGCAACGTCGTCCTTGCTCGTTAGTTGTTGCCTTCTTAGTACCTCGCTGTTGGGAGGAGACATGGTTCTGGGATGACGCTTTGGGCTTTCTAGCAGCCAAGTCAAGTCTATGGAGCCAGCCAACATGTCACAGAAGCCTCCCTGCAATGGCTATAGCACGGATGATGACTAGCCAGCTAGTACCTGATACGTGTACTTCGTAGGTGCGAGCGCCCTTGGTGCCAAAATGGCTAACACTACTCCCTTGGACGGTGTTCACGCCTGTAGGGTCCCTGGTCGCGCAGAGAGGCGACAACCAGCTTGACGCTCCTACTATGAAAAGGACGCTAAAGCTTCTCGCTTCAGATATGATAGTTCAAACGATGGAAAAGCTAGATGCAGAATACAACATGAACAAGTCATCAAAGGTTGGTTTAGCTAGTTGTTTTCGTGTTTTTCTTGCTTGCTGTCTCACAATTCTAGACTAGACTTTGCTTGTCACGTCACTTTCCATTCCGTTTGCACAAATACACCACCACACAAAGTAAAAGGGTCGGATCGTTCTCCATGGCTGCTACTATTAGTTCTCAACAGTCTTCTTGTTGGCAACAGCCAAGTTCTTGCGAGAGAAAGAATAGGCAGTGGCGAGGGAAAACACCATCACGGGACCCATGGTGGCGCCAAAGAGGGCCTCCACGACGACAAATCCAACAACCATCAAGGCAGTAATGACCAGGAACAAGGACTGAGCCATCATACTGGTGCTGTTGTGGACCATATCGACAAGATCCATGCCCCAGGCAATGTAGAGAGGAATTCCCTGGTCATTCATGACTTGGCAGGGCTTGTCGGTGATACCAAGGCACACCACACGCACGGGGGTAAGGTAAAAGTGGACCCAGGAATCGTGGGGGATCTGGACAAGTCCATTGAGAGTGCTAAAGTATTCCTCGCCTTGATCGAGGGCAATGTAGGAAGAAGCCATGACGCCATTGACAACGACCTTGCCACTGGGAGTCAATGGAGCGTAGAGCCCCTTCTTTTCCACAGAGGCAATCTTCTTGACGGTGCTGCTGGCTCCGGCAGTCTGGAGCTTATCACCCACCTTGATAGAGTCGGCACGGACTGCATGTGGCTTGTCAGCAAGGTAGACCAAGTGTTCACCGGTGATTTCGAGAGTATCTTGAGCAGTGGTGATCTTGACGAATCGTGACGTGGAGTCCTTGTCCAAGTGTCCAAAGGCAAACAAGGGTTCGAACGTGTTTTCACCTGTCAGGACCATGTCTCCCACTTGAGCCTCTTCCATGGTGACCAATCCTTTGCCACGCACGTAGAGAGTGGAAGTGCCCGAGAAGCAGGAGGTACCTCCACTAGCGCAAGCTCCACAAGTGTCGCCAAAGTCGGTGCAGTGCTCGTTCCACTCCGAAGATGCGATGCATTCATCTTCTTTGCCTTCGTGGCAGACGGCAATGTTTCCACTCGAACAACTTCCGGTCACGGAGCAAGTCTCGGAGCAACTTACCAACTGACGACCGGGTTGGGTCTCCGCACGCATAAAGGCGGGCTCTGCCAAGCAGGTGCCGGCAGAAAGAGCCAACAAGACGACGGTGTGCTTCATCATGGAGAACATATTTGTATTATTCAAAGGAAGCGATGAAACTGGTCCACTCAAAGCAATTGACTGAATTGAAGATCAGAAATAATGAGAGAATTGGTTGGCTGGAGAAAGATTTGCACGACGGGTACCTACCAGTTCTTACGTACAGCTGAAAGTATTGGTAGGCTGAGGCTCAGCGAGGAGATGCAGCTCTCATCAGCTAGCTGGTAGCTTCAGTAGGATCCAGCACGTGTTGATTGGGTGCATCAAGGATTCTTTCTGTGGTTGGTTGGAGGGATACCACCGGCAGTTCTCACATTGACCCAAAGATTGCTCTTCCTAGCACTCCAAAAAGTGGCCGATTCATGCAAGCCAGCCCGCTAAGACTCACATTCCGAAGGGGAACATCACCTTCTGATAAAACTTCTTGCATTTTCAAGGGAAGAAACGTTTCTATAGTAATCTTGTACTGAACCTAAACTGGCTGGTACATCTTTGTCTATAGTCATGGATCACGTCACAGCACAGATAAAATATTTGAATACCATCACCCAAATGACCAATTTTATTCAAAACATTTTTAACCATCAAGATTGAATCAGCGATTTTATTGCATTTGATTATGAAGGTTTTGTGTAGGCTTGGTAGAATAATATGTACATGTATTCAATAACATCACCTTCAACATTTTAGTAGGTCGATAAAGAATATGATTGTCAGCTTCCAACGTAATATTAGTATTGTTCCGGCGAAACCTCAACTACTCCTAGCGGGGTTTGATTGGGGTCCGACTTGTTAATACGTTTAGGCTATTGGTTCAAACGATACACGGTAGAAATGGAACGTGCTGTGGTTCTTTTGTTCTGGAGCCGTGACCGAGCACTAAGGACTCGAGCGGAAGGCAATCTTAGTCCTTCTGACTGGCTTATTGCCTCTATCTGTCGATGGATCTTTCCACTTTCGATTTTGGGAGCTTGGATTCGATTCCTCGCACCTCGTCACTCCAATGCCAAGCCCACAAAGTCCCCTCCACTCTGCAAAGAGCACCAAACTGTACTCTATTAGTATGTTGTTATCTCTAGAGTGTTGGGGATTCGCGATTAGGGATTCAACCTGTACCTCTGTACTAGAATTTGATGCCAGTAGAAAAAGCCAAGGAACCCACTTTTTCAGTAGTATCTCAATAGCAACAGTAAACTAGAAGAGAGCTTAGAGCAACTAACATACTACTGAAAAAGCGGTCTACTATCGAGTCGAAGCAGTGAAGAGGAGCCTATCGAAGCAACGCAGCCAACGGTAGCAGGAAGACACAAGAGGATCGAGTACGGATCGGCCGACGCCGAACGCGACGCGAGAAGAGTGTCGAAGACGACGAGACGATAGAGACCAAGCCTGTCGAAGGATCGACAGCAACGCGACGACGACCGTCGTGCACAAGACCAAGACTGCTGTTCGACGTTCGAACGACAGCAACAAGAGAAGAAGCCTGTCGAACGAACGACAGCAACGAGTGAAGATCCGAGGACGGATCGATCAAGACTGCAGCCAACGACGCGAGTATCGGTCGACGGCAACAGCAAGAGTTTCATCGGCAGAATCCACAAGGATTGTCGATAGAAGAGCCGACAGCATCCAGCCGGAACTGTCAGAGCCAACAAACAACAAGCGCGAAAGCCATATGCAGCTAAGCAGGGCGCATAAGAGAGGAAGGGAGAGAAGGGGAGTGAAGGGTGAGTGGCAACGAGTGGAAGTCTGCGATATAAGCAGTTGGACGTCAAGAGCGTGGGGTTGGTTCGCCTTGGCTGAGTAGGGGGGAATGCTGAATCTGCATGGGGAGTGCAAGGCGGCCCAGCTTAGCGTGGTTCGTTCTTGGGCGATGGCACTACGGACGCGGAGGCAGTAATAACTAGGTTGATGATGAAACATCGCTCTAGATATTTAGCTAGTGTGGAGTACTTCCACGCTACTAGATCAGGCTAGACAAACCTTCCACGCGTTCCGTTTTAGGATCGTGGAAAGACGTAGGATACTACCAAACCTACTCTATCACACTTTACAGTCTCCCGCGGGAGGCCAGATCTACGATCCTTGATGATGATCTCTCTCGTTGATTAGTTTTCATAGCTTCTAATCTCTCTCATAACTTTCATTCTCTCAAACTCAAAACACTCGAAAGATCTTTACACTAGCTTTTAGCGTAGTGCAGTTTGCTGCGCGATCCGCTGTGCACTATTTGGCACGAGAGAACCTCCCCGATCCCGATCCCCTTCCCTGTGCGTCTAATCCGCTGTGCGATCGTGCAATCGTCTATCCTCGTTCGCTGTGCTATCCGCGCTGTACACCTATCCTATTCTCGCTGTGCGTCTAATCCCTTCGCTGTGCGTCTAATCCACGCTGTGCGCCTATCCTATTCTCGCTGTGCGTCTAATCCGCTGTGCGCCTGTGCTTATAAAAACCAAAAGACAACAATAAAAAATTCATAGAAATGATAGCCTTAACATATTACTTTCCGTCAAATGGTGACAATGTTGACCAAGACGGGTTCATGCATGAAATTTGGAACGACAACATCATGGACTATCTCATCTATGTAAGAAGGGTTAGTTTTTTAAAAAGGTCTCCCATATGTCAAAGGTTTGTTCATTTTGAAGGATGGATCAACCCCCTTCCCCTCTGAGTTTGAGGTGCACCCAATTCCCAATGACGATGTTTTGGCATGTGTGCACCATCAATACAAAGAAGAGCAAAAATTCGAAAACAACGCCATAGAATACGGCAGGCCACCTTTCCCCTTAACCTAGCTAGTCTTCTTTGGTTTCTTCAACACTAGTCTTCGTCCTTTCTTCGTTCCCATTTTTCAGCTTGAATAACCCGCATGGTGGTTCTGACGTCTTCCATGTCGGTGGTAGCTAGTCTGCCTGGACGATCCGGCAATTGGGATTTGTGACGTTTGTTTCACGATTGAACAGTCGTACTGACGTCACAATTAGGCAACAGTTTAGGCAACAGTTTAGGCGACCGTTACAAATAGGCGACCGTTTAGGCGACCGTTGTCGGAATTAGGCAACAGTTTAGGCAACTGCTTAGATTTAGGCAACTGTTGGTAGGATTTAACGGGTAGTTTCTCGAAGAATTAGGCGACCGTTTTGGCAATGGTCTAAAAATAGGCGACCGTTTAGGATACTCGCACCGGTTTTAGGAGACTATTTAGGCGACTGTTTGGATTTAAGCTACTAACGGTCGTTTGCAACCATTCAGTCGTGATTCATAATTAGCTTTGGCACCAATTGCCGGATCGTCCTGTCAAACTCGTCTGTCTATCAATGGTGAAACATTGAATCACGTTTATCCCAAACTTCCTCACAATTCCCACGCTCACTAAAGCAACTTTTTCGATTGATTCGATTCGATTCATCGATTGATTCCGTCTCCTAGCTAGACGGCTGTAAGTTGGATTCCAAAGGGTGCAAATGGTCCAAGTTGGCACGCGTTTTACTGTGACTAGAATAGTGGGATCCACTATTGGAAAGGGGTGGGACACATACAAATTACTTAGTTTATAGGCGCGAGGCAGTCACAAATAGAGGTTCGGTACAGTATTCATTCTTGAGTGAGGAGACGACCGGAGGAACCCTAATTCCCAGATCGTGGCTCAAACAAAATTAAATATCGCGAGTCAGTCTCGTGTTCAATATCTCGCGTGCAGCAACGCATCAACAGAAAGCCACCCACAACCCACAGCGAAAAAGGCTGATGGTGGTGTTGATAAAGAGGTTGCTATAGTGTTGTGTGTGTTACTACTTGGTTGTTGTGGTTGATTTTAGTAATCTGGTAACTGGATAGTCATAAATCGCTACCACAGGTCATTTTCGGTCTTTTCCCATGTCAAGTGCAATCTAGCGTGAGATAGATCCCCCTCTAGCTTGAGGG